GATGGTCTCGAACTCTCGACCTCGTGATCCACCCGCCTCGGCCTCCCAAAATGCTGGGATTACAGGCTTGAGCCACTGCGCCCGGCTTTTACTCAAGAAATTCTGACCTCTCTTATCCCTTCTTCCTAGTAGCATACACATTTCTCTCACTAATATTCACATTAACATAATTTAATATCACCTATATTAAAAACAAAAAGATCACCCAGCATGGTGGTTTATGCCTGTAATCCTAACACTTTGGGGAGCCAAGGCAGGGGGCTTAAACCAAGGCTTGAGCCCCAGGGTTCGAGACCAGCCTGGACAACATAGCAAGACCTAGTTTCTACAAAAATTTTAAAAATTAGCCAGGCATGGTGGCGCATGCCTGCAATCCCAGCTACTCAGGAAGTTGAGGTGGGAGGATTGCTTGAGCCAACAAGGTCAAGGCTGCAGTGAGCCAAGAACATAACCAGCACACTGCAGCGTGGGTAACAGAGCGAGACTGTCTCAAAAAAGTAAATAAATAATAATAAACCTTCCCTAGATAGACGCCCTTCCAAGCTTCTCCACCACCAGAGCGAAACCTCTTGAGAGTTTGTCAGTGCTTATGGTCTCCACTTTCTCTTCACCTATACTCTTCCCCAGCCTACTCCAATGTCGCTTTCACTCCCACCACTCATGCAGACAGCTCTTATTAAAGTCACCAAGAACATTTTGCTGTATTCACTCCTCTTGACTGTTAGGGGCCTGTGAATGTGATCTTATTTGGAAATAGGTTATTTGCAGATGATCAACTTAAGATGAGGTCATTATGGTGGGCTCTAATCCAAGATGACAGCATCCTTATAAAAAGAGATTTGGACACAGACACATGCGTGCACACAGAGAGAATGCCACGTTCATGTGAAGGCAGAGATTGGGCTGATGCATATATAAGCCAAGGAACGCTAGATTGCCAGCAAACCTCCAGAAGCTGGGAGAGAAACATGGAACAGACTTTCTCTCACAGCCCTCACAAGGAATCGACCTTGCTGACACCTTGATTTTGGACTTCTGACCTCTAGAAATACATTTCTGTTTAAGCCTCTCAGTTTGTGATACTTTGTTAAAACATTTCTGTTTAAGCCTCTCAGTTTATGGTACTTTGTTAAAACATTTGTTTAAGCCTCTCAGTTTATGATACTTTGTTAATACATTTCTGTTTAAGCCTCTCAGTTTGTGATACTTTGTTACAGCAGCCCCAGGAAACCGATCATACTTCTTTAGGTTTCTGGGACACCATTGATCTGCTCCTCCTCCACCTCTACATGTTGGCCTCAGTCCACCCACATACCTCTCTAACCTGGGTGATCTCATCTAGTTCTATAGACTAAAAACACCACCTGAATGCTGACGACTTCCATATCTAAACTTCCAGACTGACTTGCCCCGGGCTTCAGATTCCATTCTACTACTTCTCCACTTGGATTTCTGTCACACTTCTCAAATTTACCACAATCAAAAGTCTTGATTCAGCTCTACTGAGCCTACCTCCCCCCTCCCAGTAATTCCTCTGCCTACATTCTGAGGCTCTAAACTGAGGCATCATCCTCAATTCCCTTTTCCCTCAATTCCATATGCAGTCCATCAGCAAGTCCTATCAGCTCTACCTTCAAAATACATCCAGAATTTCACCACTTTCCACCATCCCCAAGCCACCATCATTTCCCTCCCGGACTATAATAGCCTTCTCTTCTGCTTTCATTCTTGCTGCAAACAGCAGCCAGAAGGATGTCTTAATGCATAAATTAGGCATTGCCATTCCCATTTATTTATTTATTTATTTATTTATTTATTTATTTATTTATTTAGAGATGGAGTCTTTGTTGCCCAGGCTAGAGTGCAGTGCTGCAATCTCAGCTTACCGCCATCTCCACCTCCTGGGTTCAAGCTATTCTCCTGCCTCAGCTTCCTGAGTAGCTGGGATTACAGGCATTACCACCACGCCCAGCTAATTTTTGTATTTTTAGTGAAGACGGGGGTTTCACCATGTTGGCAAGGCTGGTCTTGAACTCCTGACCTCAAGTGATCCTCCCACCTCGGCCTCCCAAAGTACTGTGATTACAGCTGTAAGCCACCGTGCCTGACCCCTGCAGTTCCCTTTCTGAAAACCCCATCACTCTAAGAATAAAGTCTGGAGCTCTGATTGACTTGAATACTCAGATCAGATAAAATCATCTCTGAAGCCCACTCTGCCTGCCCCATCCCTCTGCATGCAGCCTTATCCATATCATACTTCCATGTATTCTTTCTTTCCATGCCTGCCTCCCTCGAAAGACTGAGTTCCTTGAAGATAGGATCCACACCTTTGTTAGCCGAGTAGCCCCAGTACCTGATTCCTTGCCTCACCCAGAGTAAGCCACTAGTGTTGCTTGCTGAATTGATCACTTTAGACAAGTCCCAGCCACCAGAAAATTCTCTCCCAACTTAAAATGCTGCCTCATTTATTCAACTTTCAAATCCAGGCTAATCTGTTCCCCAAATCGTGGCAAGCTGGGCTACCTAATTTTTGTCACCTCTCTTTGAACTCAGAAATCTGGGTCCCCTGGGCTTCTTTTGTTTCTTTTCTCCCTGGGCAAACGCTCTCCCTCATTCCCTGCCTTTCTCACTCTCACCCCCTCAGGAGGGTTCAGATTTCTACCCCATTTGGCCAAGACACTTCCTTCACTAAGACTCTTGGCAGATTCAAGTACTAACCTTTTTTTTCTTTTTCGAAGACAGAGTCTTGTTCTTGTTGCCCAGGCTGGAGTGCAATGGCGCGATCTTGGCTCACTGCAACCTCCGCCTCCTGGGTTTAAGCAATTCTCCTGCCTCAGCCTCCCGAATAGCTGGGAGTACAGGCGCCTGCCACCACGCCCACCAATTTTGTATATTTAGTAGAGATGGGGTTTCACTATGTTGGCCAGGCTAGTCTCGAACTCCTGACCTCAGGACATCCACCTGCCTCGGTCTCCCAAAGTGCTGGATTACAGGCGTGAGCCACCATGCCCGACCTCAAGTACTAACCTTTAAAAAGTCCACAGAGACTTGTCCAGAACTGCAGTGACACCTCAAGACCACTTATAAAGCAGATAATACTTCCTGCTGTTTACTATTGAAAAATCCCCTAGAAGCCCCCACATAATTCCCCAGTATGAAATGACTCCCCACTGGAGAGTTTTGAAAACTTCTGGGTTCAATGCTTGAACAAAGGTCACATCACTTCCATCTGCACTTGGGGGTGTCACTTTCAGGCTACACTTACGCTGTGGTGGCTTGATAGTTGTGAGGCATCTCGAGTTTCCGTTTTTTCTCCTATAAAATGGAGTTGGTTAAATATCACTAGGTAGTATGCTTCCTAAATGCAGAGAACTGTCTTAATTTACCGTGGTAAGCCCCAATCCAGTACCTAGTACAGGGCCCAGGATGCATCCACCGCAATGTATTTTGTATGAGTGGAGGCATGTCACTAGGTAGTACTGGTAAGAACTGTGAATGTTTGCAGACAGAATTCATTAATGAGCCATACTTACTGTCCAGGGCAGTTGTCACGGGAAATGATGTCATGTATAAAAAGCACCCGAAATGTCAATTAGACCAATTTAAGGGACTGTATTAAACATCGCCTGGGAGGGGTTGCAGAAGGTTTGGAATGCAACAAACCTGGGTTCAAATTCCAACTCCAAGACTTATTGGCTGTGTGCCCTTAGGCAAGTTACTTTATCCCTCTGAGCTTCAATTTCTTCATCTGTAAAATGGGTAATGACACCTACCTAATCAAGTTGTTGTGAGGATGGATTTAGCAGACAGATGTAAAATGCTAAGTACAGCGCACTAATACATATAAAAGTTACTGTTTGGTGGCATAAAAAACCACTATTATTTACTGGGTGTGTTGGCTTACGCCTGTAATCCCAGCATTTTGGGAGGATGAGGCAGGTGGACCACGAAGTCAGGAGTTGGAGACCAGCCTGGCCAACATGGCAAAACCCCATCTCTACTAACAATACAAAAATTAGCTGAGTGTGGTGGTGGGCGCCTGCACTCCCAGCTACTCAGGAGGCTGAGGCAGGAGAATCGCTTGCACACAGGAGGCAGAGGTTGTAGTGAGCTGAGATCGTGCTATTGCACTCCAGTCTGGGCAACAAGAGCAAGACTCTGTCTCAAAAACAAACAAACAAACAAACAAACAAACAAAACACAATTATTTTCATCTCATACATCAGATGTTTCAATCTAAACATTTAAACATCAATCAGTGTTCAGAATGATAGTTTCAGCTGGGTGCAGTGGCTCACACCTGTAATCCCAACACTGGGAGGACAAGGTGTGAGTGTTACTTGGACTCAGGAGTTCAAGACCAGCCTGAGCAATGTAGCAAGACCTTGTCTCTACTAAAAATTATTTTTAGCCGGGCGTGGTGGCTCAAGCCTGTAATCCCAGCACTTTGGGAGGCCGAGGCGGGTGGATCACGAGGTCGAGAGATTGAGACCATCCTGGTCAACATGGTGAAACCCCGTCTCTACTAAAAATACAAAAAATTATCTGGGCATGGTAGCGCGTGCCTGTAATCCCAGCTACTCAGGAGGCTGAGGCAGGAGAATTGCCTGAACCCAGGAGGCGGAGGTTGCGGTGAGCCGAGATCGCGCCATTGCACTCCAGCCTGGGTAACAAGAGCGAAACTCCATCTCCAAAAAAAAAAAAAATTATTTTTAAAAATTATGGGAGGCTGAGGCGGGTGGGTCACTTGAGCGCTGGAGTTTCAGACCAGCCTGGGAAACATGGCGAAACCCTGTCTATACAAAGAATTTTAAAAAATTAGCCAGGCATGGTGGTATGCACCTGTGGTCCCAGCTACTGGGAAGGATGAGGTGGGAGGACGCATTGAGGATGCATTGAGCCCGGGAGGAGGAGGTTGCAGTGAGCCGAGATCTCACCACCGTACTCCAGCCTGGGTGACTGAGCAAGACCCTGTCAAAAAAATTAAAATTACAGTTTCATTTTTTTCTCAAATGGCATTTATTAGAAAATACAATTCCCAAGAAAGGAGATACAAGGGATTCTGGGAAGTGGGAAGTAAACAGTACACAGATCTCTTTAAATCAGGAGCATACAGGGTCATAATAAAATGAGCTACAGGCACAAAGCCAGTAACACATTTATGGTCCATTCATCTGGAAAAGTTTCACCACCTGCTCTCCACTCCCCTTCCCCCTCCCGGAAGCAGCCAGCTTTATTCTCGGCATTTTAATTTTAGAGAAAAGTTAAACTTCCATGCTGCCCTGTGGCTTCAGTCAATGGAGCTTCTTTCTCCCATTATGGAATGAGTCAGCAGAACAGGGAGTTTCTGATCCTTTGAATTAGGGAGGGACAGTTTACAGAACAAGAACCTCCTCATTTCACTCTTTTCCCAATCACGGGAAACATCCAGCCAACTCTGGTTTTAAAAGTTAATATCAAATTCAAAGTCCCTCCCTCTTTTTGGCAAGGAAGACAACCCTTTGGAGTGAAACACAAAAGAGTAATCATAAAATCCATCTGGTAGGGAATAAAGAATATGAAGAGAGCCGGGCGCCATGGCTCAAGCCTGTAATCCCAGCACTTTGGGAGGCCGAGGCGGGTGGATCACAAGGTCGAGAGATCGAGACCAACCTGGTCAACACGGTGAAACCCCGTCTCTACTAAAAATACAAAAAATTAGCTGGGCATGGTGGCACGTGCCTGTAATCCCAGCTACTCAGGAGGCTGAGGCAGGACAATTGCCTGAACCCAGGAGGCGGAGGTTGCAGTGAGCCGAGATCGCGCCATTGCACTCCAGCCTGGGTAACAAGAGCGAAACTCCATCTCAAAAAAAAAAAAAAAAAAAAAAAGAATATGAAGAGATAAGAGACTCTGTCTCTCCCTTCGGGCTCCTGAGCTTAGCTCCAGGGGAATAATCATCACTCCAATCCAGCCTCCTACAGACCAAAGAAAATCATGGGGGAAAAAAAAAAAAAAACAGTTTTGATGGAATCCCCCACCCCACCCCATGCCCCTTTCCTTCAGATAGGGCATTCCTTTGGCTCCAGACTAAATAGGTTTATGGCCCCACAGAATGAGGAAAAGTCTTATAAAAGGGTGACAGAAATGGAGCTCCAGAGGGAAGCAGCAGAGCAGAAGGAAGTGGGCAGTGATGGATGGGGAATGCTTTCCAGAGGCCACCGAGCGAGCAGTCACAGCGGCATCCGCAGCCCAGGGAGCTCTTCCCAGGGCCAAGATGCTCTTGAGTGAAACTACATCTAAGGACTCAGGCAGTATTTTGTCCCACCAGAGAGAAATGAAGGGAGAGACCTATGGGGGAGCACCCCCAGCATTTTCATAGAGACCAGCAGACCCCCAGAAGGGCCAGGAGAATGGAGGAGCAAGGGGGAGAAGATGGTATTCAGGGCAAGTCCTAATAAAGTACGGAAGGTAAGAGGAAAAGTCCCCCCAAAAGAGCATGGGTCCCTGAATATGGGTCCTTGGCGGAACCCCAATACGGAAGGCCCTTCCTTACACGTGTAGGTATCACAGTGCTCTCCTTTGGAGGCAAAATCAGAAAGGCCCAGTGGCAGAGGCCTCAGTCCAGCACAGGCAGCCCTCCCTACCCTCCCCAACCTGCCCTTAGAGAGGGAGAGCTCTGACCGAGGACCCACTGGGCCCCTCCCCAAATCGTTCCTATAGCTAGAAAACAAAACACCACCAAAAATCTAGGGAAAAGTCCAATAAGAACCTTATCATACAAAAAGTCCAAACAGTCTTCCTCTCTTGCCTTCTGAGGCATAGATATGTCCCTTCTCGCAAGGCTTCCTGTCCCAGTTAGGACAACATCACTATTTCATTTTTTAAAAATAAAGATATCCACCCACCCGCCCCTGAAATGCTACTTCATACAGCCCACCCCACATACTCCCCAAACCAGGCATTGCTCCCTTGACACAAGGTAAACTTAAAACTTTGCTGCAACCTCACAGCCTCCCAAGGGGCTGCTCATCACAACCAACCCACGTTCAGTCTGCAGACGAAGAGACAGCAGAGAGCGTCTTACTCTCCCTGACTCCTACCACGGGGGCCAGAATCACCTGGACCAAGCCAGAGGCCCACCCAGGGCCCCTGCCCTTCACAAGGAAGAGTCTCGCAGGAGAGAGTCCTCTCTCCCAGCTCCCGCCACCAGCCTAGGATCTGGGCGGTAGCTCTGCTGGGCTCACAAGGTGCCATGACTTCGAGATCCCAGTGCGAACCAGCCAGTCTTCTCCTGAGCCAGGTCCAGCTCTCGTAGGCGGATGTGTACCTCACCGAGAAGGACGTTCTCCCAGAATCCCTGCTCACTCAGCACGCTCAGCTGGAGCTCCCGCTGCTGCAGGTCTCCCTTGGGAATCCCATCATACACCAACTGCAGAGAGATGCGAGAGGGAAGGGTGAGAGAAGGAACAGGAAGAATCCAGAGAGAATCTGAGAGAGAGAGATGTTAAAGTCTATGGGGCTTGATCCAACTGAGGCTAACACCAACCCTGCAGAGTCCCCAGAATACAGAAGGTACACAGACTCCAAGAGAAGCATTAATGAACTCTGCTTTTTGCTCAGAGTTCAAGCAGGTGAGGACTTTGTACTGGGGCCGCTGCTCATTTTCAGCATAGGACCAGCAGGCTCATCCTTCCCACAGGATAGGGCCAGATGCCAGTCATGAAATCCCAGCCCAAAAGGGCTGGCAAATTTTTTTTGAGACACAGTTTCACTCGTTGCCTAGGCTGGAGTCCAATGGCATGATCTCGGCTCACCACAACCTCCACCTCTCAGGTTCAAGCAATCCTCCTGCCTCAGCCTCCTGAGTAGCTGGGATTACAGGCATGCACCATCATGCCCAGCTAATTTTGTACTTTTAGTAGAGATGGGGTTTCTCCATGTTGGCCAGGCTGGTCTCAAACTCCTTACCTCAGGTGATCCGCCCTCCTCAGCCTCCCAAAGTGCTGGGATTACAGGTGTGAGCCACCATGCCTGGCCTGGCAAACTTTTTATATAAAGGGACAAATAGTAAATATTTTTAGGCTTTAAAAGCCATATATTGGCCAGGCGTGGTGGCTCGCGCCTGTAATCCAAGCACTTTGGAGGCCAAGGCGGGCGGATCACCTGAGGTCGGGAGTTCAAGACCAGCCTGACCAACATAATGAAACTCCGTCTTTTAAAATAACTAAATAAAAGCCATATATTCTATGTTACAGCTACTCAACCCTGCCATCGCAACATGAAAGCAGCCACAGACAACACCTAAATTAGCAAGTACAGCCATGTTCTTAATACTATGTCTTAATACGTTCTTTAATATGACTTTATCTAGGAGAACAGGTGTAGGCTGCCAACCCCTGCCCCCCCGCCACTGTTTTCCCCACCCACCATCTCATTGTAGGTAGGGTTGCAGGTTTTCCGGGCCACTTTGGTTTTCCTCTTAGTGGTTTTTTGAGGGTCAGGAAGGAGGTAAATTTTCACATAGGGGTCAGGGTCATTTCCATCCTGGAGCAGCTGCTACAATAGAATGAAAACCAAAAGATATTAAGATTCTTAACATCTGTCTCTTCATCACCATGCCTGTGATCATACTCTGATCCAGACTCTCATCTCCCATCTGGCGTCTTGCAATGCACACTGAATTTATTTTGTCTCCTTCCAAGCTCACTCCATTCTGATAAAAATATCTACCGTGATAACGTTGTGTCCTATGAAAACACCAATCAGACTCCTATGATAACAAGTCTATACTTTTTATCCAAACACTCAGAACATCCTATAAAGTGCTCTGAGTGAACCACCATGTTCCCAGGTGTCTTCCTGCCATACCCACTGTCCTTGTCTATTTTGTCATTTGATCCACTTAACCCCTAAGAGGTAGAGGTATGAGTCAGAGATTCAGTTGCTCACTCAAGAGCAGCCAACTAGTGATTCACCCAGCCTGATCCTTTTAAAATCTAAGTCAGATCATGTCACGCCTCTGCACAAACCCATGTCATCCAGGGAAAAAGCCAGGGTTCTTACTATCGGGGTGAGGTGCTGGCCTGTCATACCCTCTCCAACCCCATCATCCACTCCTCTCCACTTTGCTCCATCGGCTTCAGCCACTGGTCCTTGCTGTTTCTGATGCACCCCTGGAAGGCTCCCAACTCTGGCTGTCAGATCTAACTGCTCCCTCTGCCTGGGACAGTCTGCCCTCAGATGCATAAACACGGCTCCCTCCCTCACCTTCTTCATTTTGGTAAGACACTTCCTCAACAATGAGGCCTTCCCTGACTACTCTGTACAAATTCCACTTTCTTTATTTCATCCTAGCATTCCTTCTCTGTTTTACTTCTTGTCATAACTCTTACTACCACCTTCTATGCCATATATTTTACTTACCTGCCTGTATGCCCTTTCCAACTAGAGTGTAAGTCTCCTGAGGGCAGGGATTTTGTTTAGTTCCTCCCCCCCATACCCAGAGCTAATGTATCAGTGCCTGGCATATAGCAGGCACTAGAACATTTACTGAATGAAGAACAAATGGATGAATGTTCAAGCTCCTCCTGCCATATCCCACTACCCCAACCTACACAAAATGCCTAACATGGAATGCAACACAATGCAAGTATTCGATAAAAGCTCCCTTCCTGGCTGAGTGCAGTGGCTTACACCTGTAATCCCAGCACTTTGGGAGGCTGAGGTGGGTGGATCACCTGAGGTCAGGCATTTGAGATCAGCCTAGCCAATATGGTGAAACCCAGTCTCTAATTTTAAAAATACAAAAATTAGCCAAGCATGGTGGCACACACTTGTAGTCCCAGCTACTCAGAAGGCTGAGGCAGGAAAATCGCATTAACCCAGGAGGCGGGGGTTGCAGTAAGCCGAGAATGCCACCACTGCATTCCAGCCTGGGCGATAGAGCAAAACTCCACCTAAAAAAAAAAAAAATTCCCTTCCTCTTCTAGTCACAAAGCTCTTAGAACTCATACCAAAAATTTAGTAATTATATACTGCCTTGATCATGTTCAAAGGATGTCACGTGGCTGCTGAATCATTATAACCAGGTCATGAGCCCCTCGGACCTCTCCCTTATGAAAATTACTATAATCATCATTATTACAATAAAACTAGGCATGGTGTTAAGTATTCCACAAACATTATCCCATTTAATCCCCATAATGACTCTATGAGGTAGGTGCTAACATTTTCCTCATTCCGATGAGGCTCAGAATGATTAGGTTACTTGTCAAAGACCACAGCTACGAGAAGCTGTATCTTGTATTGCCTGGTCATACCATAGGCTTGCTATGGTAATAGGCCCATCGTGGATGTTCAGTAAACTGTGGTGGTTACTCTTATGACATGGGGCAGAGAAGGTCTACCCAGACAAGTAGCTCAAGAAAAATTAAAAAAAAAAAAAAAATCAGGGCTGTGCATGTACTCACCAAGCCCCGAATATGCATCACCATGATGAAGAGCTTATTGTTTTTGTAGGAGATGGACAGCTTCACCTCCCCTCCCACCTTTCCGACGGGCCGGGCCCATGTGCCATCTGTAGGGACAAAGGAAACCAAGAAGGGTGGAGAGGCCACATGAGTGTTTCTGTTTTCTTTCTGAACCCCCTCACCCCAGCCTCTCCACGACAGGTTCCTGATACTCATGCGGCATCGACACAGGTGTAGTCTGAATGTGATTAGAGTTAACTGGGTGGGGATGGGTCTGAGGATATCATCAACTGAATATTCACCCTGTGGGGAACCCAGGTAAGGAGCTATGGACCCCACAGCCTGAGTGGGAAACCAGATTCCCTGGAGAGTAAGAAAAGGAACAGGAGGCCAGTCAAGGAGAGAGAACTGAGAAGAGGTGGGAGCAGGAGCGGTTACCCCTGGGGCAGTTCAGAGGAGTTGGCAGGAAGGTCTCAAAGAAGGTACTGTACCTGAGGACTTAGGAGCTGGGCTGGTGCCCATAGCCTTCTCATCCCGGGGCAGCAGGTGGAAGAAGGTGTACACCAAATCACACTGAACAGAACAGAAACAGGGCCATTCTTCAGTAAGACAATGGCCCAATACAAAAAGGAAGGGAACTGTTCCAGGTTAAAAAAGACTTAGGAAATATACCAACCAACAACATGCAGTTCTTACGTGGATTACGGCTCCAACAAGCGAATGGGAAAAGGAATTTGGGAGATGATAGGGAAATTCTGAATATGAACTATGTACTGGATAACACTGTAGTTAGATTAAAAATAAGGCCTTATTATTTAGAAATGCATAGTGAGTATTTAGGGGGTACAGTATTATGATGTCTGTAATTTACTTTTTTTTTTTTTTTTTTTTTTGAGGCGGAGTCTTGCTCTGACACCCAGGCTGGAGTGCAATGATGCAATCTCAGCTCACTGCAACCTCTGCCTCCTGGGTTCAAACGATTCTCCTGCTTTAGCTTCCTGAATAGCTGGGATTACAGGCGTGTGCTACCAAGCTCAGCTAATATTTGTATTTTTAGTAGAGGCAGGGTTTCTCCACGTTGGCCAGACTGGTCTTGAATTCCTGACCTCAGGTGATCAACCTGCCTTGGCCTCCCAAAGTGCTAAGATTACAGGCATGAGCCACTGCATCTGGCCTGCGACTTATTTTTATATCATGAAAAAATAGATAAAGCAAATATAGCAGAATGTTAACTGTTTAGGTGATGAATACATAGGTGCTAATTGTATTGTTTCTCTACTTTTTTGCATGTTTAAAAGTTCTCATACTAAAAAGCATAGAAAGAAAAACACAGGCCGAGGGCAGTGGCTCATGCCTGTAATCCCAGCACTTTGGGAGGCTGAGGCCAGAGGATCACTTGAGCTCAGGAGTCTGAGACCAGCCTGGTGACATAGGGAGACCCTGTCTCTACAAAACATATAAAAATTAGCTGGATGTGGTGGCCCATTCCTATAGTCCCAGCTACTCAGGAGGCTGAGGTGGGAGGATCACTTGAGCTTGGGAGGTTGAGGCTGCAGTGAGCTGTGATTGTGCCACTGCACTCCAGCCTGAATGACACAGCAAGATCCTGTTAAAAAAAAAAAAAAAAAAAAAACAAAAAACCTGTGTGAAAATACTCACTTGAGCATTAATAGTGAGAAAGAAAAATGACATACTCTAAATATCTTTCAAAAATCAAATGGTTGGGCTGGGCGCGGTGGCTCAAGCCTATAATCCCAGCACTTTGGGAGGCCGAGGCGGGTGGATCACGAGGTCGAGAGATCGAGACCATTCTGGTCAACATGGTGAAACCCCGTCTCTACTAAAAATACAAAAAACTAGCTGGGCATGGTGGCGCGTGCCTGTAATCCCAGCTACTTAGGAGGCTGAGGCAGGAGAATTGCCTGAGCCCAGGAGGTGGAGGTTGCGGTGAGCCGAGATCGCGCCATTGCACTCCAGCCTGGGCAACAAGAGCGAAACTCCGCCTTAAAAAAAAAAAAAAAAAAAAAAAAATCAAATGGTTAAGATTATGGTACTGCAAGTTGGTGTTTGGGGGAACAGATATTTAAGATTATAGCACATGCATACTATAAACACTCAGGGGGAAAAAAGCTCAGATTATAGAGGTATACTTAAGCTATGACCATCATAAAACTGTAAAAATCATGCTTGCATATGGACAAATAGGAAGGGAACATGGACAACAGAGTCAGATGATTTGTTAAAGTGTTTAATAATAGGATTCCTCATGACTTTGTTAGGACCATTAGAATACCATTTGTTAATTTAAAAAAAAAAAAAATCTAGGTTGATATACATACTTAACCGGCTCAAAAAACTTTTTCCTCAAGGAGGAGCCTTCCTTCCTGAGGCTGTGCTCACTCTCAGCACTCCAGGTTCTCAAAATAACCATGAGCCTGGATGCATTCACGTTTCTGTTTAATTGCATTTCTGTGCATAACCCTGTGAGGCTGGAACCACTCTGGACCCACCCACCTCCTGTCTTCTGGAGCACTGGTCACTCAGCCCGCAGACCCAGAAGTGCCAAGTCCTGTTCCTGACTCCTACTGGCTCCAGACACTCCCACCCCTGCCTCCCCCACAGTCCCGACCAACCAGGCTGGACAGCCAGGAGGAAAGGCGAGCCCACCCACCTCGGCCACCTCGGGGGTTGCGTGGATCAAGTGCCAGATGTAGCCGTTTAGCTCCTCCCTCCGCCGCTCGGCCACCGCCTCTCCCCGCGAGCGGCCAATCACGAAGCGACTAGGGAAGCTGGCGAGGCAGCATAGGCAGTGGGGATGCAGGAGGTGAAGATGGGGAAAGAAAATTGACACGATGGGCTTTTTTCACATTTCATTTGCATTTCCAGTCCCCTGGCACCCCTTTCCCATCAGCCTCCCTTTCTAGGGACCCCCATAATTCCTCCTGTGCTGCACGTCTGTGGCCAGATCTGACACCTGCTCAGCATCTCACACCTGCATTTCCAAGGGCCCCAGACAAGAAAACCAAATGGCTCCCCAGAAGTGTCTCGGGAGCCCTCAGTTTCTCTCATCAGTGTAAAAATTCAGGTGTTTTTTGTTTTTGTTTTTGTTTTTTTTAAGACGGAGACTTGCTCTCACCCAGGCTGGAGTGCGGTGGCATAATCTCGGCTCACTGCAACCTCCACTTCCCAGGTTCAGGCAATTCTCCTGCCTCAGCCTCCTGAGTAGCTGGGATTCCAGGCAACCACCACTATGCCCAGCTAATTTTTGTATTTTTAGTAGAAAACGGGTTTCACTATGTTGGCCAGGCTGGTCTCGAACTCCTTAGCTTGTGATCTGCCTGCCTTGGCCTGCCAAAGTGCTATGGTTACAGGCATGAGCCACACCCGGCCAAAAAATTCATTTAAAAAGTTGTTTGTTTGTTTTGAGATGAGTCTCGCTTTGTTGCCCAGGCTGGAGTGCAGTCATGTGATCTCAGCTCACTGCAACCTCCACCTCCTGGGTTCGAGCGATTCTCCTGCCTCAGCCTCCCAAGCAGCTGGGATTATAGGTGCCTGCCACCAAGCTAATTTTCATATTTTTAATAGAGACAGGGTTTCACCATGTTGGCCAGGCTGGTCTTGAACTCCTGACCTCAGGTGATCCACCTGCCTTGGCCTCGCAAAGTTCTGGGATTACAGGCATGAGCCACCTCGCCTGGTCTGAAAAGTAGGTTTTTTTTTGTTTTTTTTTTTTTAAATCGCAGTAAAATACATATCAAATTTGCCATCTTAACCACTTTTAAGTGTACGGTTCTGTGGAATTAACTATATCCACATTGTTGTGCAACCATCACCACTATCCAACTCCATGCTGTTTCATCTTTCAAAACTGAAACTCTGTGCCCATTCAACAACCATACCTCCCTGCCCTCAGACCTGGGCAACTAGCTTTCTAGTTCCTGTCTCTAGGAATCTGACTACTCCAGGTAACTCGGATAAGTGGAATCACGCCAATTTGTCTTTTTGTGACTGGCTTATTTCACTTAGCAGAATGTCCTCAAGGTCCATCCACATGGTTGCCCGTGTCAGAATTTCCCTCCCTTTTAAACGCTGAACAATATCCCACTGTATGTACATATGACATTTTGCTTATCCATTTGAAAAATGGTGTAACTCTTCAAATGATTAGAAATTTTGAAACATCAGATTGAACCAACGCCTCATGCCTTCTTTTCTGGCCAGTGGGCCAGGAGTGAGAGCTCTTGCGTGCAAGGACAGTTTGGCCAGCAGGGGGAGCACTGGCCACCAAGCTCCATACCAGGCCGAGCAAAGCTGGCAGCTCTTCAGTCCAAAAGGGTATTTTCCGTGGCTGCAGCCCTGCCCATCTCCCACCCAGTATCCTTTCCCCTCCCCCACATCCCTCTGCGCAGATAGGAAAGGGGCAGCTACCTGGGCAAGTGGGAAGAAGGGAAGAACAGCCGCAGCTTATTGTGCAATTCCTGGAACTCCTCAAAGGTCCGCTGGATATAGGTGGCCTCGTGAGCATTCTCTCGCATCACCTTTACCACGTATATCTGCAAAGGTCCAGATCTTAGGGTGTACCTGCCAAGCCCTCTGCATCCAATGAAGCGGGTAGGAAAGGTCTGGAAGGCGTGTGTGTGTGTGTGTGTGTGTGTGTGTGTGTGTGCTGAGGGGAGGGGCACATTCCGGAAGGAAGAGGGCAACAGTCTCTCCAGTGCAGACACATGATAGACAGCATATACACAGGAATCTGAAAGCAGACTTCCCACATATGTTGCCGGGACCCTCGACTCAGAGGGAATAACCATCCAACTCAGCTCCCCAGTTCTAGGCAGGTGACGTGAGCAAGAGAGAGGGCAGTGGTCTGGGACTGCTCCCAACACAGGACATGCAGTCTACTCCAGTGCCCACTGTGCAAGTATGAAAAAAGTCAGGACCTCAATAAGCCAGGGTCAGCAGAGAGCGAGTAAGGGGGTCAAACTGCAGAAAACACTTACATAGCCTTTGCTGGGGTGGAAGATCTTCTCATGGCGGCAGAGGAAGACATCCGTGATGCGGCCAGAGCTCTTGAGAGTGTGTGTTCGGGAGGCAAAGGAGAGGGTCAGCCGGTCATCTGAGCCCGTGAACTTCATCTGAGCCAGATTATGGATGAAAAAATTGAGCTTTGTGGCTACACTGCCCAGGCTGGACTCAATCAACCTGGCAGGAGGATGAGAAAAGAGGATATAACCATGAACCCAAATTCCTGCTGCCTCGACGGGGGTGTTCCAAGGAATAATCCCGACTCGAGACTAACAGTCAGCTCACATCAAATCATTTTCCTCTGTCATATCTTCCTCAAGCAAATGATTGGCAGACAGTTATCTCATACAATTTGCTCATGTGAACCCGAGGGTCTTATCTCTTCCCCTGGCTACCCACCTGAGCCAAAGATGATCAAACCAAGGTAGAAAGGAACTAGGAACTCTGTGTAAATTCTAAATATTGTGGCGAAAACACTTCAAAGTTCAGTAAAATAAAACCTTACCAAGCACTGTTCAATCTAGAGATTTCAATTCAGAGGGAGAAGTCCTGTGTTAGGAGGTCTAACAGAGAAAATGTAATTCTCTGAGTTCCAAAAAGAGTGAACAATATAATGGAGAACATTATCACATGGACAACATTTTGTAGGCATTCACAGATAGACACATCCTTGCTTTCACACACAGTGTGCCTAAAAACATTGCCAAATATGAGGAAACTGAATCACGGGACTCTATGTTTTCACAAGGGGGAAGGGTCTGACCAAGAAAGTTAAAAAAGAGACTGGGGACACAAAAAAGAAAAAAAAAAAAGAGAAAAAAAACAAAACAAAACAAAAAAAGAGGCTGGGCGCGGTGGCTCACGCCTGTAATCCCAGCACTTTGGGAGGCCGAGGCAGGTGAATCATGAGGTCAAGAGATCAAGACCATCCTGACCAACATGGTGAAACCCTGTCTCTACTAAAAATACAACAATTAGCAGGGCATGGTGGCACACACCTGTGGTCCCAGCTACTCAGGAGGCTGAGGCGGAAGAATCACTTGAACCCAGGAGGCGGAGGTTGCAGTGAGCCGAGATTGTGCCACTGAACTCCAGCCTGGTGACAGAGTGAGACTCTGTCTAAAAAAAAAAAGAAAGAAGGAAGAAAGAAAGAAAGAAAGAAAAGGAAAGGAAAGGAAAGGAAGGAAGGAAGGAAGGAAGGAAGGAAGGAAGGAAGGAAGGAAAGAAAAACTTAAAAATTATTGGCTGGGCACGGTGGCTCAGGCTGGGCATGGCCACTAACGCCTGTAATCCCAGCACTTTGGGAGGCCGAGGATCACGAGCTTGATGGTCTTGATCAAGAGATCAAGACCATCCTGGCCTATAAGGTGAAACCCTGTCTCTACTAAAAATAGAAAAACTAGCTGGGTGTGGTGGCGCACACCTGTAATCCAGCTACTCGGGAGGCTGAAGCAGGAGAATCACTTGAACTCAGGAGGCAGAGGTTGCAGTGAGCTGAGATCTCACCACTGCACTCCAGCCTGGTGACAGAGTGAGACTCCATCTCAAAAAAAAAAAAAAAAAAAGAAATTATTATAAAAGCCACATTATACATTGCCCCACAGACAAAGTATATGACTGGGACCTAGTGAGAATGTAGGTAAGAGTGACAGTGATCCCCTTGTGTACAAAGGTTAGCGCCAAAATGCAGATGGGAAACCAAGGCTGAGAGAAGCAAAATGATTTACCTAAATCATGGGTGAAGTTGGGACAATATATCCACGTGGTCGACTCTAGGCTCTACCCTCTGAGCTAAGCCTTTCCTCTTTCCCAGTCCCGCTTTGGCCAATCCGGCAGGCTGGGAATTACTCAGGGTGGGCAGTGCTGATTTACTCAGGGTGTTACCTAGTGAAGTACGTAGTGGCATTCGCCTCTGTGTCCTGAGGCCTCAGGGCATCATACACATACTTGAGGTCTTCCAGGTCTGAGAGCTCAGGGATCCCACAGGACAACATCTAGAAGGAGCAGAGAGAAGAGAGGGTGGCTGTAACAAGAGAGAACTCTCTCTGCTTCTCCACCCTAAGGCAAGGTTTTCTACAGCTAGGCTCCCTAACCCTTCTAGAGGGTGGTAGACAGATGCTGTGGGCAGCGACTGGAGAGCCACAGGAACTGAGGGGCTGGGGCAGGGAGTTAGACACCTACACAGACATCACCGTCCTCAGGTAGTCTGGGTCCCTGCCTTTATCTAGGGCAGGCAGGTATTCAGTTGGGGCTCAGAGAGGTAAATCTCTAGAAATCCCCTGAAGCAAGACAGGGAAGTCTTAAAGATGGTGCCAGATAATAAGAAGGAGGTGTATGGAAAGGGATGGAGCTCCTCACCAGGCCCAGAAGGTTGAGGAAGAGGTGGGTATGCTTGCGAATGAGGTTGTAGGCTTGGCAGCAAAGGTCAACAAAATCATGGAAGCGGCTGGAAGGCTTGTCACCCCCGTTGATGACATACGCCATGTCCGAGGTGAAGACAAAGGGGGCACGGTCCCTGAGCCAAGGGGAACATACAGATAGAAGGTCAACACGGAGGAGGAAGCCCGCCATGTGGGCTGCACCAGGGGGCAGCTTCCCTCATCCCTCGTCATGTGTCCAAACTGGATAGATGGGGCTCTAACTTTTTTCTTTGTTCCTTTCCTACCTTAATCTTAAAAGATTTCTTTTTTTTTTTTTTTTTTTTTTGAGACAGAGTTTCACTCTTGTTACCCAGGCTGGAGTGCAATGGCGCGATCCTCGGCTCACCGCAACCTCCGCCTCCTGGGTTCAGGCAATTCTCCTGCCTCGGCCTCCTGAGTAGCTGGGATTACAGGCATGCGCCACCATGCCCAGCTAATTTTTTTGTATTTTTAGTAGAGACGGAGTTTCACCAATGTTGACCAGGATGGTCTCGATCTCCTGACCTCGTGATCCACCCGCCTCGGCCTCCCAAAGTGCTGGGATGACAGGCTTGCGCCACCGCGCCCGGCCCTCTTAAAAGATTTCTATATCCTTCATTGGTTCCTTATCTGTGAGCTGGCCGTATTTTTTTCTGATTATCTAATTGGATTCCCTTTTGCTACAGTTTGGGTTCATTTCCCTTTGTTCAGTCCTTGGTAGAGAAGAACAGCTGGTCCCCACATTCTTCTGCAAGTTCCCTGCAAGGACTTGACGTCTTTATCAGTCTCCTCTCCTCCAGTGCTGCCCAGCCCTGGGACCACGATCCGAGGCCCAGCTGCTTCCATCACGGGTTTGCGTCCCAGCTCTGAACCACTGTTGCTCACCTCCTCACCCTCCACTCACAACCTGGCTTCAGGAGATCACTTACCGCTTGATGTTGCCAAACATCTGGGCATGGCCCAGGAAGCGGCCAAAATCAATGTGGAACATGTGACCAGTGGTCTTCAGCATGATGTTGTCATTATGTCGGTCACAGATGCCCAAGACGTACGTGGCCACGCAGCAGCCAGCACAGGAGTAGATAAAGTTCTCCACAGCCTGGGAGGGGTCAAGGCAGATGGGAGGAGAGGACATAAAGCTGGCCTGGAAGGACTCCAGGGGCCACAGCCGGACAGAACTCAGCCAGCCCTGGTCTCTCTCTTTTGTGAACCCCAACGGGGTCTCACATCTGCCTGCTCATCCTTCATGATGTACTAACTTACACACGTACACACACAGAAACATCTCCCATGTGTTATAGAAAAGAAGATGGAGGCTTATATGTATATCTTCACCACTTCATCTGAACATCATCTTTTCTTTCTCCTAGGGAGATTGGTTGGACAGACAGGGGACTGATCCAATAGCCCAGACTTGATCAGCCCAGACTAAGGGAATCTTTTTTTTTTTTTTTTTTTTTTTTGAGACGGAATTTCGCTCTTGTTACCCAGGCTGGAGTGCAATGGCACGATCTCGGCTCACCGCAACCTCCGCCTTCTGGGTTCAGGCAATTCTCCTGCCTCAGCCTCCTGAGTAGCTGGGATTACAGGCACGTGCCACCATGCCCAGCTAATATTTTTGTATCTTTAGTAGAGACGGGGTTTCACCATGTTGACCAGGATGGTCTCGATCTCTTGACCTCGTGATCCACCCACCTCAGCCTCCCAAAGTGCTGGGATTACAGGCTTGAGCCACCGCGCCCGGCCTAAGGGAACCTTAATAAATGGGAAGACTGACATGGTGGGAAGACTGACCTTTACAACCTCCCCAACCGGCCGTGATGATTTTAGGTTACAGCCACTGAGACAGCCAACTTAAGGATCTCTTCCTGACCCTGCTGAGAACTCTATCATCCTTCTTCCTGATCCAAATATAATTCCTATTTCCAGAGTTCTTGGTAACAGCTAAATGCTAATCTAATTAAAGTCACTGCACTCCAAAGAAGAGCTGAGGCAACTTAACACGTCTAGAGAGTGTTTTACACTTGAAAATCTGACATCTCTAGTCGGTAAAATGTGTTAGAGATATTTCTGAGTTTAAAGCAGGAGAGAAGTGGTGAGGGGTTGAATCCATCTTATTTTGTTTTTGTTTTTGAGACAGAGTCTCGCTCTGTCGCCCAGGCTGGAGTGCAGTGGCTCGATCTCTGCTCACTGCAACCTCTGCCTCCCGGATTCAAGCAATTCTCCTGCCTCAGCCTCCTGAGTAGCTGGGATTACAGGCAAGTGCCACCACGCCCAGCTAAATTTTTTGTATTTTTAGCAGAGACAGGGTTTCGCTATGTTGGCCAGGCTGGTCTTGAATGCCTGACCTCGTAATCGACCTGCTTCGGCCTTCCAAAGGGCTGGGATTACAGGCGTGAGCCACCACGCCTGGCTGAATCCATCTTATTTTGTCTGGTCAACATCTGTCCCCTTATCTGCCTTTCCAGGAAGAAAAAATGCATGGAATCAGGAAATAGACCACATCTGCCTTCTGAGCCCTCCTCGTGAGGTTTGTAGAATTCCTAAGAACTCAGGAAAGACATCAGCAGAGGGCAATGATCGTCATAGCCAGCTAGGAATGCATGAAATTGGGAATGAGGGAAAGCTTACTAGATAGAGGATGCCTGCCCTCCTTGCCTTCTTCCATAAATTACACCCAGTCATCCTTCAATGACCTTGAGTCCCATATCTTTTCAGACCTTCCCAGCTCACACTGACTCCTCCTCCTTTGAACCCTACAGATGCACTGTCACCTCTGTTCATACAGGACTCACTTTGCCCTTTTGGTCCCATGGGGTTATAGATCTGTTCTCCTAACAGCTTCTGGACTATTTCACAAGGCCTGCTGCAAAACTATCTCCACACAAAATGCACCTACCCCAGCTACTTATCGAACTACAACCTGACAACGAATCCACTGGAAACTAAGAATAGAAAGGTTATAAAGAAATCACAGCATTCACCTTCTGGAAGACTAGTTCTAAGAAAGTAAAATAAATGAATAAAAGCACTTAATAAGGAGCATAACACGTAACTCTCAGTCTTGACCTGGATCTCTATCAGATCCTCTCCCTGTCAAAGATACTCTTTCTTTTTTCTTTTATTTTAATTAAATCAATATTTATTTCAGGACATGCCACGTCAAAATAAAACAAAGAGTCAACCCTTGCCTTTAACAGTTACACTGTATTATAGAGCACTTTACAACTGCATCCAATCTTTAAGCGTAAGTTATTGGTATGTGGGCTAATGATTATCTGTAAGCATTTCTCTATTCAGATCCATCATCCAAGGGCTCTCTGAATATTACATGGTGACAATAAGTGGGAAGTGGAAGAGGAAGAGGAAAGAGAGGGGACGAAGGTTCTTCCAATTTAAGGTTTTGTTGCAATGGGGGGATGAGGAAGTATGAAGATACTTTTGTTGTCTTTTCATCTTTATACTGTGTTAAGTGATGTTTACAACATAAATTCAGCAGGCTTTTCCTGAGCTGTAACTCAGAAGTTTTCTTCCTGCAAACAATGTATTTACAAATGTGTTTATTAGCTCACACAGCAATCTCACAATAACTAGTGAAGATTAAAGGGCACACTCCTACTATATTTGTCTGCAGTGTTTTAAGGGAAATACATATTGCCTTGGTGCAGCTCTAAATAGATTCAACAAAACATCTAAAAATTGTAAGTTGTTAAAAAGAAAAAAAGGCAAAGAAATAAATATCACCAAAGAAAAAAGATTAATTGTAGCTTAAATATATAACTAAATCACTAGTTAAACTATATAGATCTAGGCCGGGCGCGGTGGCTCAAGCCTGTAATCCCAGCACTTTGGGAGGCCGAGGCGGGTGGATCACGAGGTCGAGAGATCGAGACCATCCTCGTCAACATGGTGAAACCCCGTCTCTACTAAAAATACAAAAATCATTAGCTGGGCATGGTGGCGTGTGCCTGTAATCCCAGCTACTCAGGAGGCTGAGGCAGGAGAATTGCCTGAACCCAGGAGGCGGAGGTTGCGGTGAGCCGAGATCGCACCATTGCACTCCAGCCTGGGTAACAAGAGCGAAACTCCGTCTCAAAACAAAAACAAAAACAAAACAAAACAAAACAAAAACAAACTATACAGATCTAATACAAAGCAAAACCAGCCTGAAAGACCCAACATTTTAAAAAAGCTAAAAAATAAGGCCCAAGTCTACATAATATTGAGTTTTATTTCCATTCTCTCCTTTCCCTCTACTATCCATGCTTTACCTAATCTGCCTCTAGGGGCTTACAAGAAACCAGTTTCTGTCTTCCATTTGACCTCAAATGTCCTGAGCAAGGTTTTTGCTATTCTGCTGAGGGTTCTTTTGTTGGTGAGTTTTATCTATCATTATTTCTACTAATTTAGTAGTGTTGATCATAGCGCCAAGTTTAAATTCTTCCACTGGTTCTTCTGAAATGAACTTTTACAGTGTCTTGCCTGCATAATATATATATATTTTAGGGAAAACCCAAGCAAAATCTATTGCTTAAAGAGGTTTCTTATTATTATTTTTTGAAATGGAGTCTTGCTCTGTTGTCCAGGCTGGAGTGCAGTGACGTGTTCTCAGCTCACTGCAAGCTCTGCCTCCTGGGTTCAAGCGATTCTCCTACCTCAGCCTCCCAAATAGCTGGGATTACAGGTGTGCACCATCACGCCCAGCTAATTTTTGTATTTGTAGTAGAAACGAAGTTTCATCATGTTTGTCAGGCTGGTCTTGAACTCTTGACATCAGGTGATCCGCCCACTTCGGCCTCCCAAAGTGCTGGGATTACAGGCATAGCCTCCAGACCCGGCCTGTTATTATTTTTTTTAAACAGAATAACTTTTTTGGGGGGGATGGGGAGATGGAGTTTCGCTCTTGTTACCCAGGCTGGAGTGCAATGGCGCGATCTCGGCTCACCGCAACCTCCGCCTCCTAGGTTCAGGCAATTCTCCTGCCTCAGCCTCCTGAGTGGCTGGGATTACAGGCACGCACCACCATGCCCAGCTAATTTTTTGTATTTTTAGTAGAGACGGGGTTTCACCATGTTGACCAGGATGGTCTCGATCTCTTGACCTCGTGATCCACCTGCCTCGGCCTCCCAAAGTGCTGGGATTACAGGCGTGAGCCACCGCACCCGACCCAAACAGAATAACTTGACAATTTTAAAACCTCAGGAGAAATAGTTCATTAGAACTTCATTATTTTGCCATGAAGAATTAAATACGAAAAACCTATTCTGAAGCACCTGGTTGCTTTTCTCTCCCAGAGTCTCATGAAGTACATGTGAAAGGGCCATTTGTTTGGGTCAGAAGTACACTTTATGTTCCTCTACTTACAAGTACTCAGTATGTTCTTTAGGACCCATTTTGAAGATATACCAGGACCCTTTTCTCATTCAAGCACTGCCTACCATGATAGCTGAATTTTGACCTCAAAGAAGGTCTAAGTAATTTCTATCAGTGCTCAGGAACAATTTTGGACATCTTGGTCCATGACCTACAGCAAGTGGTTATCGGTGAAATTAAAGGATAATTCCAATGGGCCTGGTTGGACTGCTGCTTTGCCATCTCGTTTGTTTTGAGGAAGTGGGGGAGGCTAGGTAAGAATAGGGAATGGGGGTAAGAGAGGCGTGAGAAAAGCAAGGAGAGATCAAGCAGGTTGCCTGTCACAGATATTCTTTCTACCTTAAATGAATCATTTTGGCTGAGAAAATAGCTATGTGCCTGTGGGTAAATGACTAAACTCTTTTCCCCTCCCTAAGTTATACAGGGCGTTAGCCACTTACTGGCAAGAAGTCTCACTCCATCAGGGGGCACTCTCCCTCCTGATTAAAGGGGTTTCATGTGTAGAGTGTGGGATACTCTCATGTTGAGTAGGTGGCCAAGAGAAATATATCTGTAGTTTCTTTCTTCTGGAGGTTGTCATATGAAACTACCAGCATTGCTGGGTGTGGTGGCTCATGCCTGTAATCCCAGCACTTTGGGAGGCTGAGGTGGGTAAATCACTTTAACCCCTGGGTTCGAGACCAGCCTGGGCAACATGGCAAAACCCCGTCTCCACAAAAAATAGAAAAATTAGATGGGGATGGTGGCACACACCTGTAGTCCCAGATATTTGGGAGGCTGAGGCAGGAGAACTGCATGAACCCAGGAGGTGGAGGTTCTTGGCTGTTTCACAAGGCCTGTCACCCAGGCTGGAATATCCCAGCCTGGTGGCAGAGTGCGACCCTGCCTCAAAAAGAAAGAAACTACCAGCATTATTCTAGCAGAAAGGCTAGAAGGGCAGAGAAGCTATCTTTGAAAGACTGAGATTAAACATGAACATGCAGAGTTAGTTTCTCCGTGTGTGTATTCTTGTACATTCTTCCATACACTTATTTTTATTTAGTATTATTCCATACATTTACACATATATGACTATTACATTGGCAGGGAGTAATCATAACTCCAGCACCTAGTACAGTACCTCTGCATATGGGTGTTTAATACCTGAAAAAGGCCGGGCATGGTGGCTTATGCCTGTAATCTCAGCACTTTGGGAGGCCGTGGTGGGTGGATCACAAGGTCAAGAGATCAAGACCATCCTGGTCAACATGGTGAAACCCCGTCTCTACTAAAAATACAAAAATTAGCTGGGCGTGGTCGTACACACCTACAGTCCCAGCTACCAGGGAGACTGAGGCAAGAGAATTGCTTGAACCGAGGAGGCAGCGGTTGCAGTGAGCCAAGACCGTGCCATTGTACTCCAGCCTAGGTGACAAGGGTGAAACTCCATCTAAAAAAAAAAACAGAATTCTGAAATCAAGCAGATGCTGACTCTGAATGGAGAGGCATTCCAGTGGTTCAGGGACAGAGAGCAAAGGGCTGAACAAAAGCAGTAGTAAGAAAATAGAAAGAAGAGGACATGTCTGAGAGATAGCTGGAAAGAAGAATAAACAGAGCTTGGTACAGCAAAAGCGAGGCAGAAGGAAGCATCGGGAAGACTGTGGCTTTGGCTTGGGTAAATGCACAGAGAGACTCACACCATTGACTAACAGCAAAGACAAAATGCAGGTTTCAAGAGGCAAAGCAGTAACAGTGGGCTCAGTTTTGCCTACACTGAGTTTGAGACATGGGTGAAACAGGTGGAAAAGTCCAGCGAGAAGGTGGCTGGAGAGCCACCTGGAGGGAGGGAAGAGGGCTAGAGGAGCGGCTTTGGAAGTCATCGGTATTATAGGTGGTAGCTGAAGTAATAAGAGAAGATGAGCTGGCACAAGAAGAATGCAGAGAGAGCCCAGCAGGTCAGGAATGAAACCCTGGGGAATAAAAACCCTTAAAGCCATTTAAGATCATCTACTTACAAATTCACTAAACAATGTTCTGATTATACTTTGGCTACCCATGATGGTTTTGCCTCCAGGATAAAGTGCATTGATCAATATAAATTAGTATTTGAGTCCCTTGAAGTTAAAAATCGTATGAATTAGCATTCTGGCATATAGCCAGTCTCTTAGGAGTTTGGTTATTGTGACTTGTTCCCTCTGACTGTCCCTACCTCACTCAACCTAATTAACCCAGAGACTAGAGTTGTGAGGCTGGGAACAGGCCATGGACCCCAGCAGGCCACCAAGGCCCTACCACCCAGGAAAGCTCTACTTCTACTCTAATTTTCCTTCATCAGAACCAGTCAGCCCTCTTTTCTCTCATCTCTGTCTCATACCTAACCTCAACCCTGGCTTTGAGTTACAGCCTTCCCACAGACCAGCTCCAACACTAGGAACGAGTGAGTAAATCTTCATTCACACCTATGAAAAGAAGGGGCTGGAACAAAATGATCTCTAAAGTCTCTTCCAACCAACTCTCATTCTACAAAGTACCACTGAACCCTCTGAGGATACCAGGGAACTTGAACAGGCTCCACCATTGGATGGGATACAGGTAGGCTCCCAAAAGTTGGCCCCTCCTCCAAGACTTAATCTGCCAGGGGGACTCAATGAAGGTTTCTCAGTCCAGTACCAGGGGATCTTCTCAGCCAGCTTTCAAGAGCCATCTGAGTGAGTCATCCCGAGATATTTGGAGGTACCAGACAACCAAGAAAGAGTAGGTCCTTCTGCCAACAAAGCTGAGCTGTCTTCTCTGTGCAAGCGCAGGTCTTGTGGTTCAAGAGCTGTGTCCCGGCATCAGGCACACGCACCCCAGATGCGCTCCCCAGCCCCCAACCCTACCTTCTCATACTCGTCCTCCGCAGGGTTGTGTTTCTGCAGCCAGTCTGCCAGGGGCCGGTCCTTGAACGAGCCGGTCACCCCATGCTCCACCTGGATCTTACGTAGGGTCTCGGCATTAGGGATCATCTCCACCATCCCTGTGAGGGGAGAAATGGGGGTCATGCTCCAGACCAGAATGAAGGGTCTGCAGGGAGAGGATTATAAGAACTGGGCTCACGCTTCCCTATAAATTAAGCTGTAAGGCATTTGGACTGAGTCTCATAATAACAGGAAAACAGTAACCAGAGAAAGGAAGGTCATTCCCACATTTCCTTTGCCATACTGTGGCTTTTTGCTCTCTCTAGTTTATAGCTGCTGCTCCCTTTGCTTTTCATTTTTATTATGGGAATTAAAATACATATATAAGAAAAAAAAGAATGGTATCATGAATTCACAAGTAACTCTCACCAGCTTCAAAAATTATCAACATTTTGCTAATCTGGTTTGCAGTCCCACAACCCTATTTCTCCACTCCCCGTCACCTTGGTTGGAGTATTTTAAAGCAAATCCCTGATACTTTATTTCACTCATAAATATTTCAGGTGTAATTACAAGGACATAGCCACCCTGCCATTGTCACATCCAAAAAGTTAACAATAATTCTTTAACTCAATCTATATTCAAATTTCCCCCAATTGTCTTTCTCTCATATATATATATATATATATATATATATACACACACACACACACACACACACACACACACACACACACACACACACACATATATATATTTTTAACTTTCCACAGAGGATCTCACTCTGTCACCCAGTCTGAAGTATAATGATGTGACTGGGCTCACTGCAGCCTCCAACTCCTGGGCTCAAGCGATCCTGCCTCAGCCTCCCAAGGAGCCGGAACTGCAGGCATCTGCCATTAGGCCCAGCTAATTCTTATTAGAGATGAGGTTTTACTATGTGTCTAGGTTGTTCTCAAACATTCCTGAGCTCAAGCAATTCTCCCATCTCAGTTTCACAAAGTGCTGGGATTACAGGAATGAGCTACCATGCCTGGCCCAAAAAAAATTTTCCTTTTTTTTTTTTTTTTTTTTTTTTTAAAGACGGGGTTTCACCATGTTGGTCAGGCTGGTCTTGAACTCCCGACCTCAGTTGATCCGCCCGCCTTGGCCTCCAAAGTGCTTGGATTACAGGCGTCAGCCACCACACCCAGCCAAAAAATATTTCCTTACAATTGGTTTGTTTTAATCAGGATCCAAAGTCTACAAATTTGGCTGCTTTGGCGCCAAGTCTGTTTTACTTTATAACGGTCTCTCTCCCATGCCTCCCTTTTAAGGCCATTCCACAGCTTCTCATGAAATCATCTTTCCCTCTTCACCTTCCTGGAGGAGGACACAGTTTGTGTTGGCAATGGGCAAAAGGACAATAAGCAAAGGGGTCCCCTCCACCACCCTCACCCCCACTCCCCACTGACCTCTGCCCCGGCCAGTGGAGAAGCAGCGGAAGATGACCATGCGCATGTCCAGCCCCTCCTGGACCCAGATCTTGCTCATGATGCGAATCATCTGCAGCGTTAGCATGTCCTGGCGAAGGTCGTCCCCACACTGGATGGAGGGTGACAGTGATCAGATCCCATCTCCACTGCCTCCCCAGCTCTCAGTCTCCCAGATGGGCGACCTTCGCCCTAACTAACAGTAACAGGGAGTTCCCCTGCCTCACACCCCTGATCTCCTCGCTCAGCTCACAGCAGGTCGGAGATGGTCCAAGAACCTTCCCATTTTGCCCATGTGTTGTTCTGGCTCATCCCTCAATCCCACGGGCCCGTCTGAATTAAATTCATGGTCTGCTTCTACATGCAGCCCTTCTGATCATCGGGCTTTTTTTGAGACAGAATCTCACTCTGCTGCCCAGGCTGGAGTGCAGTGGCGCCATCTCGGCTCACTGCATCCTCCGCCTCCGAGGTTCAAACCATTCTCGTGCCTCAGCCTCCCACGTAGCTGGAATTACAGGTGCCTGCCACTGGGTCCAGCTAATTTTCTTTACCTTTTTAGTAGAGATGGGGTCCCACCATCTTGGCCTGGCTGGTCTCAAACTCCTGACCTCAAGTGATCCACATGCCTCAGCCTCCCAAAGTGCTGGGATTACAGGCATGAACCCGGCCCATCAGGCCTTTTTTAAACTTGAATATTTACACTTTGGATTTGGAACTTGCACACAGCAAACATGTAAGTTACTAAGTCACGTGCATGTATTTTGTCTCCCCCACTAGATAATATGCTCTGAGGCTATCATTTACATCTCAGAATTGTGGATACATCAGAGTCAGAAGGGACCTTAGGGTTTATCTAGTTGGACCTGCACCTGATATATTAATTTCCTCTTAAGACAGCCCTGTCACATGGCATTCAGCCTCTGCTTGAATACCGGAGGGACAAGCAGGTCGCCACCTTCCCCCACCCATTGTTGAGGGAGCTCTGCCTCCTAGAAAGCACTTCGGGTTATTGAGCTGTCAGTTGCCTCCCTATGCCTAACACTCTGTTCTTAGGCCTCTGGGGCCATGCAGAATTCATCTAAATCCCCTTTCACCAGATCGTCTTTCCTGCATCAAGACAGCATGGAGCAGTGGGAAGGGAACCAGCCAGGGCCTACTTAGCCACTCTAGGCTGCCTCCTCCTCTCCCTCAACATGGTCCACAAGGCTTGAGTAAAGTATTCTCACCTTGAAGATGACACGGACGTTCTCACCCAGGGGATCCACATTTTGGAAGGAGAGTTTGAGGGGGACAGCATTGGAGTTGAAGTAGGAACAGTCCTGCCATGGTGAAAAGGGTAGTGACAAGGGTCAGAGTGGCCTGTGCCAGGAAAGGAAAATGACCTCTCCACTTCAGATCAAGATGCTGCTCCCCCGCTGCTGCCGGCCCACCCAAGACCTGCTCACCATTTCTTCCGGATTTCTCAGGAACGCAACTTCCTTCCTTCTCTCATTAGAGGCCTCATCCCAGTTCAGTTTGTTATAAAGTGCTTGTCACTGACCTCAGCTCTAGCACTTGACTGTTCATCCTGTTAGTTCATTCTGCACACAACTTACTAGTTGTGTGGCCTCTGGTAAGTCACATGTCTGATCTACACCTCAGTTTACTCCTCTGTAAAAGGGGACTGCCAATAGTACCAACTTCTAAGAGTTGTGAGGATAAAATGCCATAACCAACTTTATGTGAGCCCGGCACTCGGAACAGGGCCGGGCACAGAGAGTGCTCAATCAATGAGAGATGACAGCTGCCATCTCCACCACCACCCCGACTTCATCCGCAACATCACCAAAGAAAGACAGCGGCCCAGCCGCCCAGCCTCCAACCCAGTTCCTCTATCCTGCAAGCTGTTAGGCTTGTAAAAGTCCATACATAATTGGGAATGGGAAGAGGCCACAAATAGGCCTTTCTTCCTAATCTCTCTCTTACTTTACAGCTTATACAGAGAGGCTCACCTGTGCCCTCACTCTGTCTTTGAGTTCACAGCCCCTCTGCATCTTGTTTCTCTTATATTTCTGCCATGTGTGGGTAGAGGAGAGGCAGGAATAGTCCTCACCACGCTACATGGAGGTGAGCTGAGACCCCTGAGGAAAAGATGCTAATCCAAGGCCGCATGGTAAGTCAGCAACAGCCTGAAGCCCAGACGACTCAGCTCCTCACCCTTGTGTGCCTGGTCCGTGAGGACCTCAGCTCCACTGAGCCCTCCCACGCCGACAGCCCCAAACCTACCAGTCACTCACCCTGGGCACGATTCCCTTAACCAGCAGACTGGGGCTGAGCGGCAGACGGCACGAGCCATTGAGGATAAAGAACTGCCTCACCTCCTCCAGGCCCGTGCGGAGGATTCCCTGGAAAGAAGGGAGGAAGGCGGCAGGGGTGAAATGGAGGGCCTGTAACGGGAACCAGACCCCTCCCGGGGGTGGGTTCTCAGCAGTGGTTGGTATGAAAATCACCCCCTGAGAAGTGTGGATACCCGGAGGACCCCCTGAACCGCAGCCTGGGACAGTACACCAGCAGCAAGACCAGATGGCTCCAGAGGTGAGCAGAGGGCAGAACGCAGGGAGCAGCCCCAGAGCACCGAGAGGGTAGGCTGTCTCTTAAGGGGGAAGAGCTGCTCCGGCTTCTGCCAAGAAAAGCTAGCAATCTGGACGTTGATACAAAATCTCTCCATTTTTAAATGTCAGCAACCAGGAACACTGCTGGCTGGTTATAGTGCCTTGGTACAAACAGATAAAGGTGTCCTCTCTGGGTGGCAGCAGGCCTGAGCCATGGGTCACAGCATGAACAAAATATGGCTGGATTTCAGCCCTCACTTGCCCCTTCTGGCTGAGTGCTCTTGTGCAGTGAACAACTTATACAACTGTGCTTAGCCTTTAAAACAAACAGCTAAATAAAAATGTCAGTATTTTACAGGCCAAATAACACATCCACGGGCTGTATCCAGCTTGCAGACTGCCTGTTTATGGCCTACAGGTTCCAGAGTCATCTGCTCCCAGCTCCAACATCAGAAATCGTTGCATGGAATCTTGTTGTTCAGGATTCCTAAGAAGAAACTGGCTGCCAATGCCCTGGATGAGAAATGGGTAGAGGCAGCGTCACCCCACTCACCTGCCTTGCCGATGGGGCTGCCTCCCGGACCTGCTGGGCCAGTTTGGCCAGGGCGTTGACAAGCCAGCACTGGCGGTTAAACTCTTCTCTGAGCCCCTTGCCACAGCAGCACAGTAAGGCTGCCAGCAGATACTGGTAGCGGATGCTGAACTGAGAGTCCTTGAGGCCGTCCTTCAGCAACCTGCGAGGCAGAGGGAGCCAGGAGTCAGGGCACTCCAGCGATGAAAGGCAGGGGTGCAGGGGGAGATGGAGTCAAGCCCAGCTCCAACTCACTGCAAAACCCACCCTGAACCTTGGGAGGGAAAATACTCTGTATGTATGGCTTATATGGAGATGCCTACCTGTGCCCATACCCCAGTCTGTGCCCTCATTCTGTCTTTAAGCAGAGTTCACAGCCCCTTTGCAACTTGTTTCTACCCTATTTCTGCCATGTGTGGGAGAGGAGAGACAGGAATAAGCCTCACTATGTTACATGGGGGTGAGCTGAGGCCCCTGAGGCCGCATGGGAAGTCAGCAACATCCTGAAGCCCAGACAACTCAGCTCCTTGCCCTTGCGTGCCTAAGAGTGAAATACTCCTACATGAAAGACATGTGTCTACCTCCCACTTTTCTACACACGGTTTTACCAGAAGAAGTAGTGAGTCACTCTCAAGTCGGACACAGCTCGTTTCAGGAGGAAGCGCACCAACGGGCTGTCCAGGTAGCACTCGTACTTTAGGGCCTGTTTAGGAGAAAGGGAGAAAGAGAATATGAAGCTTCATTAACTGCCTGTAATCTACACCTATCATTATTGCACTGGGATCTCTGGTTTCTTTTTCTTCTTCTTCTTTTTTTTTTTTTTTTTTTTTTTTGAGACGGAGTTTCGCTCTTGTTACCCAGGCTGGAGTGCAATGGCACGATCTCGGCTCACTGCAACCTCCGCCTCCCGGGTTCAGGCAATTCTCCTGCCTCAGCCTCCTGAGTAGCTGGGATTACAGGCACGTGCCACCATGCCCAGCTAATTTTTTGTATTTTTAGTAGAGACGGGGTTTCACCATGTCGACCAGGTTGGTCTCGATCTCTCGACCTTGTGATCCACCCGCCTCGGCCTCCCAAAGTGCTGGGATTACAGGCTTGAGCCACCGCGCCCGGCTTTCTTCTTCTTCTTCTTTCTTTCAGACAGTCTTGCTCTGTCGCCCAGGTTGCAGTGCAGTGGCGCGATCTCAGCTCACTATAACCTCCACCTCCTGGGTTCAAGCTATTCTCCTGCCTCAGCCTCCTGAATAGCTGGGATTACAGGTGTGCACCATCACACCCAGATAATTTTTGTATTATTTGTAGAGACGGGATTTCACCATATCAGCCAGGCTGGTCTTGAACTCCTGACCTCATGATCCACCTGCCTCAGCCTCCCAAAGTGCTGGAATTACAGGCGTGAGCCACCGCACCTGGCTGGGATCTCTGGTTTCTAAGGAACATAATGCAGACTCACTTGGGGTATTGGAGATGGGACCAGCAGAACTGGAGGGAAGACCAGTGTACCCACCTGTACCAGCTGGGGCAGGTAGTCCAGCAGCTCGGCATCTGAGAGTGAGCCAATCCACTGCACAGCCATACGACGCACCTCCTGGTCCGGGAAGCTGCAAAACAGAGCCCAGTGCCCTGACAACCTCGCTGCAGGCTGAGGCACAGCTGTGAGCCAAGCATCCTCACTCCTGGGCTTCAGAGGCATGGAGAGAGAAAATGCAATGGCCCTAGAGTCTGCCAGCATCACTAGAAGAATCCTTAGCACCTTCCTGGGACAGCAACCCTTGGGAATGAGCCTCCTTCATGGTCAGAGTCTACCTTGAACCACAGAAGAGCAATTGGGTAGCCACTTTTACTCTTTGGATGATTTAAAGAAAATGGGACAAAGTCCTCAACCCTACTCCCAAAGATTTCTTGCCTGACTCCCACTGTGCCAGAAATTCCCACCATTAGAGGGCCCTGATGTGGGTAAAAGCATTATTTTGTCTTGGTAACATCCTTTCATGCAAAAGGTACCAAGCAAGTAACAGAAAATCACAGAATTTTAACAAAACCATTGCCTCAAAAACTCCTAAAGGCAGGTCACATGAATAAGTACAGTTTATTACTGAGAGTGGCAGGAAATAAGCAGAAAATCCTGGGTACCATCTAGAAAAGGCAGCCCTAACAGATCTGAGACTGGAAGCCTTGGGCCCACAGAGAACCCTTCAAGAGAAAGAGGGAGAGAGACAATAGTTAAAATAAAACTAAGTAATAAGGATTTCAGTTACACAGGTGTATACATTTGTCAAAATTCAGCCAGTGTATAGGTAAAGTTTGGGTATTTGCTTATGTATAAATGTTGCCTCAAAAGAAAAAAAAAACAACAACAGAACAAACATTGAGCTCTAGTTAGTAATGTGCATGCCAAAGCAGGGAGTTTAATGGTGTGTGTAATTTACTTTGAAATGTATACGAAGGCTGGGCATGGTAGCTCACACCTGTAATCCCAGCACTTTGGGAGGCCAAGGAGGGAGGATTGCTTGAACCCAGGAGTTTGAAAACAGCCTGGGCAACATAGTGAGACTTCATCTCGACAAAAAGTTTAAAAAATTAGTCAGGTGTGGTGGTGTGCATTTGTTGTTCCACCTATTTGGAGGCTGGGGCAGGAGGATTGCTTTTGAGCCCAGGAGGTTGAGGCTGCAGTGAGCCGTATTCATGCCACTGCACTCTAGCCTGGGTGGCAGAGTAAGACCCTGTCTCAAAAACAAAAAAGCATAAAAAATACCACGGATAGACTGGGCACAGTGGCTCTTGCCTGTAATTGCAAGACTTTGGGAGACCGAGGCAAGTGGATCATGAGGTCAAGAGATTGAGACCAGCCTGGCCAACATTATGAAACCCTACCTGTACTAAAAATACAAAAATTTGCACATGCCTGTAGTCCCAGCTACTCAAGAGTCTGAGGCAGGAGAATCGCTTGAACCCAGGAGGCAGAGGTTGCAGTGAGCGGAGATTGTGTCACTGCACTCCAGCCTGGGAACAGAGCAAGACTCTGTCTCAAAAAAGAAAAAAAACAAAAAACAAAAAAAAAAACGTTGATAGATGGATAGATACAGGAATGGATACATGAAATATATACAATCCAGCACACAGAGAAAATGCTAGCAATAGAATCTAGGTGATGGGCACATAGGTATTCACTGTACAATTTTCAGTTTTGTTGTATGTTTGAAAAATGACCACAATGTAACATTGGGGTAAAAAATAAGAAAGAAAAAACAAAAGGAGAAATGGAAAAATCCCTGAATATCCACACCCACTTTACCATGTTCCCCAGGGCTGGCTCAGATCCGTGATCGGCAGTGCCATGCCCTGGCTTCTACAGGGTCACTTGGTCAGAAAAGGCGGGTGTTACAACTCACGTGGCATGCAGGAGCCCCAGGGCATCCTGGTGGTTCATGTGGGTCCACTGCTTCAGGAGAGCATAGATGTCGGGCAGGCAAGCCCACTCCCAGCTGGGGGCGCTGGCGAGCACCAGGGGGAGTGAGCTCACCTCCGAGTGGCAGTAATATCGCTTCTCCCAAAGGCGCTTCTTGTCAGCATCAGTGAGCCTGGCGAGCACGGGGGAAAGGAGAAGGTGGCGGGAGGGTAGGGGCCAGTGAGAGAGAACAGTGTCGGTCAGGGCTGCAGTGCTTACTCTCCAGGGAGTGCTGCGCACACTGCAATTCAGTGGTTCCCAAGCTTTGCTGCAATGACAGCCACTTGAGGGGCTAGGTGAACCCCCTCGCCATGGCTAATCACACCTGATAACCAGTGAAGTCCGAATGGCTGGGAAGCCAGGCATTGGTATATTCCAAAGACCACCAGGTGATTCCAATATGAAGCAGCGTTCAGGAAACAGGGCTCAAATCCTACGTTTGGTCCCAACTCAGGGACATCTTAGATGCAGGCAGAATGCATGGGCCAAGGGCACCAAATCTGCCACCCCTCCTGCAGAGGCCCTGAGGGCACCGTTCTCAAGCAGAACCACCAGAGGGCAGTGGTCCCCCCACACCAGGGTCTCCGCCGCCAAGAGGCCTCCTGGGACCAGCTGTCGGCTTTCAAGGACCCACAGCTAATTGGGCCTTGCTTGAGATCAGGTGTCTAATGGGAGAAGGGAGCTGAGGGGCTAATGAAGTGCAGTCGGCGGTGTGGGGGAAGGGAGGTTTGCAGTCACTCAGCTTCTCCAGCTTCTCGGGGTGGACATAAGGGACAGAGATGAGCCCCGTGTCTCTCATGCCCCCCTACACACAACACACGCACAGGGCCGCCAGGAGCCAGAGAGGGAAACTGAGAGCAGACAGGGGAACCGGGTCCCTCTAGCTCCTCCAGCTCCAGCCCACCCCTCCTTCTCCAATCCTGTGAAAGCAGCAGCCACAAGGATGAGCTCAGCCTGGACTCGCTCACCCCTGAGAGCTGCCAGCTCGCCTGGACACCCGATCCTTTATGGAGAGTGACAGGGCCAGAAAATTTCAAAGGCTGTTGTTGTGGCAGGGGCAGGAGGCGAGGGCAGGAGGTGCAGGCAGGGTAGAGGGGCAGCTGCCCCCATGGACAGAAGGTAGTAGGCAGCACATCTGGGGTGTGGGGCACAGCTCTGGTCCTCCTGGGTAGCGGAGTCTGGACCAAGTTCCCAGGGTGGGACTTGGGTATTCTCAGCTCTAATTTCCTGGCCTTGACTTCTCCACTTTTCCTAGTGTCCGCTGACGGAGAAAGGCCTGGCGGCTGCCACCACTTCCTGCCTGGGTGGCAATGCCCACCCCTTCCCACCTCCACTCCCTCAGCAGGAGGACAGGGACCCCGTGCTGGGAGGTCAGATGAAGTGAGGGCCTGGGCCTCACCAGTACAGGGACTCCTTCTGCATGATGTCTTTAAGCTTGCGCTGGTCTTCTTCCCGGAGGCTGCCAAACTCATAGCGGGGGCTGAACTTGTCTCCAGCGGGGCTGGTGAACTTGATGTCAAAGGCCGAGGTGGGGAAGTCAATCTGGGGGACGGGATCAGGGACGTGAGGAGAGAGCACAGGCAGCGTGGGTGGACTCTCAGCTTCTTTCTCCCACCCCTGCATTCCGGCCTGTGCCTCCCTCACGTTCCCTCAGGTTCTTTGTAAAATAACCCAGTTGGACTTGGTGAGCGCTAAAGTCCTTTCCAGCTATAACTCTCAGCAAAAAATGAGAGGGGAAACAAAAAAAGAAAAAGAATGGACACGTGAGGAAGCGGTCTGCTGGTGAGAGGACAAGCCCCAGTCAGAACTCTCAACACAAGTGTCACCTGGCCGAACCCCGGGAAGCATCCAGGCTGAGGCCGGGGAGCCTTCCGTCCCATGCTGGAGGGTACTGCTGCCAGAGGGGAGGCAGGACCACATGCTGGGAGAAGGCCCTGGAACACTGGGTCCCTATTTTATGCCACCAGATGTTCATCCTACTAAAGAGACCGTCAGAGCTGAGTGAGCCAGTTCTCCAAGGAGCTCTACCTTCCTTCATTCAACAAATATCTTTTTTTTTTTTTTTGAGACAGTCTTGCTCTGTCACCCAGGCTGGAGTGGAGGGGTGTGATCTCAGTTCACTTTAACCTCCGCCTCCCAGGTTCAAGCAATTCTCATGCCTCAGCTTCCTGAGTAGCTGGGATTACAGGCACATGCCACCATGCCCAGCTAATTTTTGTATTTCTAGTAGAGACAGGGCATCACCAAGTTGACCAGGCTGGTCTCGAACTCCTGACCTCAAGTGATCCCCCCCCAACTTCGGCCTCCCAAAGTGCTGAGATTACAGGTGTGAGCCACCGCACCCAGCCTCATTCAACAAATATCTATTGAATCCGAACATGTGCCAGGCATTTTCTAGGCTCTGAGCATAGAGTAGTACATAAGACAGACCAAAATTAGCCAGGTGTGGTGGTGTGCACCTGTAGTCCCATGTACTTGGGAGGCTGAGGTGGGGAATGATCTGTGCCTGGGAGGCAGAGTTTGCAGTGATCCAAAGCTGTGCAGCTGCATTCCAGCCTGGGTGACAGAGACCCAGTCTCAAAAAAAAAAAAAAAAAAAAACCACAAAAACCTGCCTGGGAGCTTTCATGCTATATTACTGTATTTCCTTCTATGTCAACATTCATACTCCATACCAAAGTATCTCATAACCACCAGAAAGGGAAGCTGGGAACTGGGAACTGGAAACTAGATTGTGGGCGTGAACAGCTCCTCTCTTCTCCCTGGAGAAGAGGTCCACCCTGTGAAAGCACTGTGTCACTGGCTGGAGGAAAGGTGTCCCCTCAGGCCCCAAGAGGGCACAGGTCAGGTCTGATCAGACTCAGAAGTATGAGGATTCAATACAAGGGACTCAGAAGCTGAGCCCTGAATGCAGAGGGTCTCAGACCCTATCTTTAGACTTCATGAAATAAATTTAACCCAGGAGATGGGAGATGGATACCCTGGAGCTCACCTCCCACTCCACGTCTAACCATATTCACTCGGTTGCTTCAGTCACATCATCATCCCATGCTGGAAGTTCTAGCATTCTCACTCCCTTGCTGTCCCAGCCCAGATCTCAAGGGGAAAAACGTAGAGTTGACGGGAATGGTCTTGCCGGTGAACGGAGGGAAGAGCTACAGCCTCACCTGCAGGATGACGCTGTCTGGCTGGTGGAAGTTCGGTGCACTCCAACGGGCACTAGGGCTTTCCTGTGTTGCTGGCCACAGACCCAGAAGCTTCCGGCCACAGGTCAGAACCCTAAGAAGGAAGGAGGGTGGGAAGAGCCGCTAAAATGGCTAAGCAGAGAGGTTTTTCTCCTCCTCCCCCAATGCAAAAATCTGCCTTTCTGTCTGAAGCTACCATCCAACTCCCCTGTCTCATTCTCTCGGTAGACCACAGTCGCCTCCTTCTCCCAAGTCCTGTAAAAGCTCACGCCTTCCGAGAGGCCTTGTGAGCTAAGCACAGCCTGGTCTGGATGACTTGGTGGTAGGGATGCCTTTGTGAGGTGGGGAGGCTGGGCTACGTGACCTCTAGCGTTCTTCTGATGACAGGAGCAGATGATATATTACCAAAGCATTGCTTTTCCGTGTATCCTCAACAGTCCAATGCCACCGGAACCGATCAGTGGCTCTTGGTTACGTCAATAGTCCTGGTCACCAGTTCTGTGCTTGGGGACCCTCTGTACTTCACCGGTGAGCCCCACATAGCCAACCCTCCCAAGGGCACTGGCACTGGCCAGTGCAGCAGCCAGGGCCACTTTCTCTGTCCTCCTCCTCCCCTTCCAAGGCCAAGAAGCTGTATCCTGGGGCTCACATACTGCCTGAAGTTGAAGAGTGGGGTAGTGACCCAGCCCAAGGCTTCGGGCACCCTCCGCTGTTTATTGGCCTCCGAGGAGCTCCCCGGTGGGGGGATGGGCAGAGCATACAGAGTGGCACACAGCAGAGTCTCCCGAGGCAGCCGGTTCACCTGCACCGGGAAGCAGATCCTACAGAGAACGGGAAGTCAAATTAGGAGGGGCCATTCCTGTGGCTTCAAGCAACAGGTGGTCCAGGAAGTCAAGCTGAGGCTGAGGATACAGCCTCCCTCTCAGGGTTTAGACATACTCCCTGGGGAAGCCCTCCTCCTGCAGACCCAGGAGAGGTCCCAAACTAGGCGAAACCCCCACTGGATGTTCCCAGAAGCACACTGCGGTGTCCTCGGAGCTTTGTAGCCGAGTGAGGCAGACATCCCCTGATCGTGAGGCTGCCGGTGGTGCCTGGACAGAACCCGCTTAGCCAGAGCCACCTCGGATCTCAGGTGATGACACGTCCCACGTTGTCAGCCTTGCTCCTTTCCTCGTTTTAGAATTTCTGGAGAAGGCCCACAAAGCTACTCCTTTCGTCCTCCTTTTCCCTTTGACAGTCCTCATCCCTCCCCCACTTCTCGCCGGGAGCTACCAGGAAGAAGCACCATGTTCTCTGCCCTCGGTTCACCCTCCCCCACAGCCCTCTCACCTGTCCTCACACAAGTCCCTTCACCTAGCCCCAGGGACACACGATGGGTTTGTCTCACCCCTACCCCCAAGAGAGATTCAAAGCCAAAGGGACTTCAAAGATTCAAAGGGAAGGGGCTTCTCCACGTCCCCCAGTAGTGAGACAGCCCATGGCAGGGCCAAGAGAACACATTAGCCCCACCGCTCCTCAAGCCCAGGGAGTTCCCTCCAGGTCCCTGGGTCTGAATCACACCCAGCCACTCCCTCCAAGCTCGGGATAAGGAACTGCTGGGTGGGGTGAAGTACCCAGGGGAGGGGAGCTTTGGAAAGGCAGGGAGGACCCACATTACCTTTCAGGGAAATTGTCCCTGGGCCAAAGTCCATACTGTCACACCCTCCTGGCCAGCCCAGCAACTTCTACGCCAGAGGGCACAGAGGCAGGGTGGCCACCCCCAAGTTTAGCAGTTTCATGATAAAGCAACCTGCCTCCACCGCTGCCCTCACTCCTCCAGGGGAATCTCCACCTAACTGGGGCACTCCCTCCAGCCTACCGGGAACTGGCAGAGCCCTGCTCTGTCCCAGCTGCCTCTGCCCTGGGGGGCCCACAGCTATAATTAGGGCCCCTCCAGCAGCCAGCAAACATGCCAGGCCAGGGTTTGGCTGGAGGTGACAAAGCAGGGCTACTGGGCCTATTTTGAGAGTTAGCTGATCCCTGTACCACTACAGTGGGGCAGAGAATCAGCTGACCCCATAGCAAAGGGGAGAGGCTTAGCCCTTTCCTTTCCTCCAAGGAAGAAGCTTCCAGCTTCGTGTCTTAAGGAAAAGGGAAACGATACACAGCCAAGGCCCCCTTCCCTTCAGTCCTTGGGTATATCTGGTATTCCAAAACCTCTCCCACAGACCTTCACCCAGGGCTGGTCAGGATAACCATTATGTTAGCTGCAGCCCTTACCCTCCTCCCTGAGAAACCCCTCTCCTTCCTGCAGCCCATTCAACAACATCACATCACACAGGCTGCCTCCTCCATGAAGGATTCCTGGAATGTGCTGGTTGGTGCCAGTCCTGGTTCCACCACTCACAATCCTGGGCAACTTAACTGCCATCTCTGTGCCTCAGTTTCTCATCAGGGAAAAGGGGAGCATAGCTTGACTTGGATGTGTGTGCACACTGTACTTTTTGCTATGTGACACTGTGTTTACTGCACTGGCACTGGGTTATACAGATGGTATTTTCATGCACACGTATCCCCAGGTATCAGCCACTCCGTCAGTCACCTGGAACAGAGAAACCGAAACAAGAGGGCTCTCCAGCTCAGAAGCCTGTGCCAAGTACTTTATTTACAGTGTCCCGACTGTTCCTTAAACAATCCTGTGGGGTAGGCCCTATTATCACAGCCATTCTAGGTTGAATGACCTGCCCAAGGCTGCACCTGCACTAGGAAGGAGAGAATGACTGGCCCAAAGCCTGTCCTGGGAACACCGGCACGCCTTATCCCAAATGTCTTAGTCTTGACCATGAAGAGCCAAGAAGTCTCATTTGGGGCATCTGGATGGGCAGTGCAAGACAATGCCCTTTGCAAGGCTCTAGGCAGGGGACTGGCCTTTAAAATTCAAGGTAGGGACCGGGCGCCATGGCTCATGCCTGCAATCCCAGCACTTTGGGAGACCGAGGCAGGCAGATCATGAGGTCAGGAAATCAAGACCATCCTGGCTAAAACAGTGAAACCTCGTCTCTACTAAAAATATGAAAAAATTAGCTGGGCGTGGTGGCATGCACCTGTAGTTCCAGCTACTCAGGAGGCTGAGGTAGGAAAATCGCTTGAACCCAGGAGGCGGAGGTTGCAGTGAGCCGAGATTGCACCACTGCACTCCAGCCTGAGTGACAGAGTAAGACTCCATCTCAAAAAATTAAAAAAATAAAATAAATAATTTTTTTAGTAGCAATAAGACGTCTTTGTGTTGCCTAGGCTGGTCTCAAATTCCTGCACTCAAGCAATCCTCCCACCTTGGCCTCACAAAGTGTGGCAACTACAGGTGTGAGCCACCATGACTGGTCATACACACCTTTATTGCTCTACGAATTACCTGAGTGTGAAGGCCATTTTCCCAGATGTCCATCTGTAAAATGACCCATCCCTTCTAGCATTTCCAGATTCTTTATCAACTTATTTTGCATCCTCGGCCTCTCCAGGACCCTCCTCAGTCTCTTTAATCTGTGCTTCAGGCACGGCACGATGGTTCATGCCTATAATCCTAGCACTTTGGGAGGCCGAGGCAGGCAGATCATGAGGTCAGGAGTTCAAGACCAGTCTGACCAATATGGTGAAACCTCATCTCTACTAAAAATACAAAAATTAGCCAGGCTTGTTGGTGCGTGCCCGTAGTCCCAGCTGACTCGGGAGGCTGCGGCAGGAGAATGGCTTGAACTCGGGAGGCAGAAGTTGCAGTGAGCCAAGATCGGGCCACTGCATTCCAGCCTGGGTGACAGAACAAGACTCTGTCTCAAAAAATAAATAAATAGAAAAATAGAAAAAATAAAAAATCTGTGCTCCATATACTTAAGTTGCAGTGCTGCTCTGCGAGTGAGGACTCTAATATAGTCAGCGTGGGGAAGTGAAGCTGGAGGCAGCACACAGGGGATTTTCTGACTGTCTGGAAGGAAGATAGAGCACAGCACAGATGAGGCCCAGGGCAGGAAAACCCCCGCAGTTGCCCCCATTCAAGCAAGGCACCCTCTCCTCCGCTTCCTTCCTGCTCTGCGTGGCTAATGCCTACCTTCCTGACACCAAATTACTGTTAACACGTGGTGATTAATACCACCTTGTGCTTTTGGTTTCATATTTATATTTATAACCTGCCTATCTCATCTCGATGCCAAAAGCGCCTCTGAGTTAATATCCCCATTACTCAGTTTGAGAAAATGAGGCACAGAAAGAACAGAGAGGGAAGTAGTATTCGAGACAGAGCTAGAATTAGACCCTCGCTCCTGTGAATCCAAGCTCACTATTCTTTCTCAAGGCAACCCTTCCTTCTCTGTCGATAAAGGGAAAAAGGAGTCTCCTCGCCTTCGTCTACAGAAACTGTGGGAAGGAGGAGAGAACGAGAAGCCCTCCAACTAGTTAAACTCTTTAAGGGAGACAAGATCAAAAAATAAAGTATTGTTAAAACTAACAACTAACATTTATATGGTTTTTTATGGTTTACAAAGAGCCTTTATGGATCCTTCCCATTGGCTCCTCATGAGAACTTGACAGGTGGTAATTATACTTGGCCCCATTTAAGAGTCAGGGAAGTGGAGACTCAAGAGTTCAAATGACTTGTCTAGTTAGGGTTAACGAGGAAGCCTGGGTTTATCGGTAGTCCAGGACTAGTTATCTGGCCCCAGGGATATTTCGGAGGCTTAACAGGTCTGCAGTGGCCTGGGCACTGGAGCCTGGGGGAAGGGCTTACTGCTGGTCCCAGATGATGAGGTGGAAGAGGTACTTGGAGAAGTGGGCTCTTCGGGTCTGCAGGGGGCTGCACAGCTCCTTGCCACCATGGCTGAGGGAGCAGGAGAGGTAGAAATCTTCATAGCTACAAAAGAAAGGGAGCAGGTCAGGACACCCAGCTCCCAAAAACAATCACCCAAACCTATACGTCCCCCTAAGGCCAAAATCCATTTTCCCGGGCAAAACTCAGTCTCTGAGGGCTTTAACACGGGCTTTCTGGGTAGGACAGCCAAACTCGGTGTAAGGAAATGCGCTCAGGCCAAAGCAATGCAATCGGGATTCCTCTGCCTGGTTTTAGGCTCCATGCTGAGCCTTGTGGTTTTTCTTTCTTTAGTGGGAACCGGCCACCCAGCCTCCTTATAGAAAGCTGCAGCCCATCGAGCATCTGTGTGTGCGTGCGTGTGTGTGCGCGCACGTGCATGCGCAAGTGAGAAGGGTGGGGGAGGAAGACGACATATGCCGACGTGAATGCCAACACACGGGGGTCCCTGTGGCTCATGACAGGTGCCTGACAGAAGAGGTCAGAGAAGGCCCCGGTTTCCCAGGCTGCCTCCTTTGTTCTCTGCCAATCGCCCAGAGGAATACATTAAGTGAGGAACAAAGAGAGCAGGAGAAGGGGGCTGGGGGAAGGGGACCGGCAGGGGCGGGGTAGGGCCCAGTGCCTATTCCCTCAGGCCTTGGATGCTGGGGACCCAACAGAGGAGCTGAGGATTACCAAAAGAACATCCTCCTCCACCCACCCCTGCAGGCCTAGGGAACCCCAGACAAAAGGGTCATTCCCACCTCCCCGCCCAATCCCACTGGCCAGCGAGCTTGCACTCTATCTGAGAATCGGCCATCTGTTGCCGTGCCTCCTTCCACTGGCCTTGGATCTGGAGGGGGCAGGGATGCAGAGGCAGCCAGCACCCAAGAGGCAATAACAAGATCTGCTTCACCTCCTAAGGGACTCCTCCTCTCTCCTCCGGGCTGTCCCCAACCCAGGTCCTCCTCAGGGCACTTGGCTCAGCCCCGCAGCCCCATTGCACCACAGTGTCACAAAATGCCACATATCCTAAGACTTAGGACAGTGGAATTGCGTGCAGATGGGAAGAAGCCCTGGTGGAGGTCAAACTCAGCTTGCTCAGCCCCGGGCTCACCTGGTGGCCCAGGTGATGGGGATACGATGAGTGGCATAGACAGTGAAGGCCAGGGCCCCGGAGAAATGGTAGGCCTCCTGGACCAGGTCATGCTTGCAGCTTCCGGGTACTGCCGTCTGGAAGTCTGCGTTGAATGTGTTGCAGTACAGCTCCACCAGGTCCAAGATGGCAGCGGTCAGGGCTTCCACGACCTTCTCTGGGAAGGGAAGGGGTCGGAAGAGAAAGACATGAGGCCTCGACAAGCCCTATCTTGTGGCCATGGCACTGGCTAGAAAGGGATGGCCTAAGACCTATGCACCCCCCAAGTGGTCCCCAAATGCTAGTCAGTCTCTAATAGCTGTGACAAAGTTCACCCGTCTGTGATGAAATGTGAAAAAAGCAGAGGCACGTCGTGAGCTTTTCACATACTGACAGTGACACAATGTTAAAGATAATCCTTATTTTTACATATTGCCACTGACTTAGTATTAAAATGTCCTTTCTTTTAGGAAATGGTGTTAATAATTATTAGCAGTTGCTTCACTAAAGCAAAGGCCAAAAAAGTTTGGCCAAGTAAAAGGCTGGCGCTTCTCTGTTGGTCCCCCAAATACTTTGGGGGACATTTTACTGGTCTATCACATCCAAAAGACTGGGAATCACCGTAACAATCCCAGGAATGCCAAAACAAAAACGAACCAAAACAAAGGAATCCCAGGGATATAGGTCGATCTTAAGGCAAAGTTCAGCTGGAAGGGCATGACAGGGGAATCCTAGAAAAATCTTAGTGAAAAATTCTTTCTCATCCTCTCCCAAGCCCCATTCTAAATCGGAAACGTAGTGAGTGTGAGCCGTTGGGAGAATAATCACAATCTACCCAAGTGGGAGGCTTCCCATCTGGATGGCAGGGCTAGCGCTGCCTGCCACCCCACTCCCACACTTCCACCCCCTCATCACCATCTCCCAGGGACACCAGGAGGAATGACTAGGAAAAATAATGAGAAAACACTTTGTGGAAAGAAATGTGCTCTCCAGCTGTGTCCACACCTCATATAAGAACGAACACACACACACACACACACACACACACACACACACACACGTGCTCGTGTGTGCGCACCAAGCAAACTCTGACACATAAATCAAGGGGGCCAGGCAGAAAAAGGAATCTAGGCAGAGACTGGAGTTTTCGGCAGCCCGACTGGATAAAGATGAAGTGCAGTTCCCTTACCTCGGTTTTCCCTCACAGCCAAGACGCTGGGATCCTGTTGGGGAAAAAGAAGAGGGAGGGGAGCTTCAGGGCCACAGCCTTTTTCGTCACAGCTGGAAGAAGGGCTTTTCACAGCTGCATTCATCTGGACCAGACTGGACTGAAATGTGAGGAGCTGAGAATCCCCAGAGAGGATAGAGTAATGGTTGGTACCAGATCTGTGTGATGGACAGACTGAGCTGACAGAGGACAGAAATCGTGTCCACCCTTCTGAGACATCCCGACCCTCAGGCCACTCGGCTGCAGAGTCCTGGAGCCCCTGGCTCCAGAGAGATTTTCCTCCTGGTTTGTTTTTGCACCCTGATGGATATGCAGACTGTCAGGCAATGCCTTGGTGACTGTGAATAAAGCCTTTACTGGCCTGGGCTCTCGGCAGTCAGTCCCAGGTAGCTCTCCCTCGACCTCAGGAAGAGGGGACACATTTGGCATCCATTTTTGAAGAGCCCTTGTAGTTGAATTGCTTAAACATAAAAGGTGGAGGTGGAGAGAAGCCCCTTTTTAGTGAGTGAACACCTACACACCCTAGCAACAGGCAGCTCAGTTACCTGGCAGTATTCCTATCCTCCTTCCCCGAGCTAGCACCCTGGGCCCCTTTACCTTCTGAATTTTAGGTTGCATGCGGGAGGGGCAGGGGGGCAGCTGGTTGAGAGCATTGGTGATCTCAGGGGTTTCCACAGCGGCCAGGGCGTTGCAGATGGCCTTGACGGACTGGACCACCCTGTCAGCCTTCAGCGGGAAGTCCCCCTGTGGGAGGTGGCACAGTGAGGCTGGCAGGCTCTGCTCTCATGTTCTTGGTCTCCAACCCCTCCCTCCCCCAGTCTTTAAAGGAAAGCGTTGGGAAGAGTAGAGATTCATGATCCTCAGGGGTAAATGTGCAACACATTTCATTTTCAAATATCCAGCATCAGCGAACAATCTCTCCCACTGAATTCAATGGGCCATGCCCACATGCCCCAATTCTTTCAGCTGTTCCCCCTGAAGCTCCTCCTATTTCTAGCCTCTCTCTATCGTTAGTCTACTTACACTACTCATATACACACAGGATCTCTCCCAGAGACCTGTAGAATTTCCAGACAGGTATCTCCCTTCTGCAGATATGCCACAGCCACCCTCCCCTCTGCACCTTGGCTCCTGCAGTTTCCTCATTTGGAATTCCCTCGCTTGTCCAGCTCCGATTACCTATGTACATTTAAATCACAGATGAGCTAAAATTCTACCTCCTACGTAACGCAGTCCCTGGCCAATCCCCTTCCTCTAGCACCCTCCAGGAGCTCTTAATTAATCCTGTTCTGTCTACTCATAGCTGTAAGTTATTATTCAATTTTTCTAACAAGAACACAAGCTCCCCAAAGGCTATGACAATTCTTACACTTCTCTACCCTCCCCCCATCTCACCCTAGAGCCGCTAGCACAGGGCCAGACCAGCGCAGCACAGGGGTTCAGAGAGCTTCCCCTGCATCAGTGGAAATGTTCAAGCAGAGGCTGCTAGAGAAGGGCTTCTGGCAGCGACTAGACATAACACTGAACCCCTCAAAAGGGAAGAGTCTATGACTACTACAAACTGGATCAGTGAGACAGGAATTGGTTTTTGTTTTTGGAGATAGGGTCTCACTCTGTCGCCCAGGCTAGAGTACAGTGGTGTGATCATAGCTCACTACAGCCCCAAACTCCTGGCTCAAGCGATCCTCCCACTTCAGCCTCCAGAGCAGCTGGAGCTACAGGTGTGTGCCACCATGGCTGGCTAATTTATATATTTTTTGTAGAGGTGGTGTCTTGCTGTGTTGCCCAGGCTGGTCTTAAACTTTTGGGTTCAAGCAATCTTCCCACCTCAGTCTCCCGAAGGGTTAGGATATAGGCGTGGACCATTGCAGTCGGCAAGGGATTGTTCTTGAAGACAACTGTCAGATTTTCTTCAGCTTCGTGATGTTTAAGACACATGTGGATTCTCACGGTTTTGAGGCTTGAGGCTCCACGTGAGTCCAAGTAGAGAGAGCTCTGGCCCCTCCCTACATTTGAAACCTACTTCCTGACGGTTTCCAGCACCACAGAACCTCTCAGACCAAAGGTTTCTGATACTGCTCCTAGGATGCATGCTCCAATGCACATCAAGTGCAGCAGCTAGGAGGTGACAGCTCCAGGTCCCTTAGCTCTGGAGACATCCTACTCCAGAGAATGGCACCAGGACATAGTTCCTGACCTACTTCTTCTGTGGAGGAGCAGAATCCCTGGCAATGCGCTCATCACTGCCCATGAGCGAGGGGGATAAAAAGAAGGGCTCTGCCAACAGACTTTCAGGCTCCACCCAGATCCCTCATAGTGCTGGGTGATCTCGGGAGGACTGGGGAAGGGGAAGAGGAGCTTTCGGCAGCTAGGCCAGCCCCTGGATTCGTACTCACGTCAGCCAGCAGGAAGGCATCCACCTCATTGTGGTAAGTGTCAAACAGAAGACTCAGGGCCTGCCTGGGAGTTGGGGGCAGGGGAACACAATAGGAGAGGTCATGAAAGGCCCAGTGCCCTGGGAAACCCAGTTTCTTCCTCCCTCTCCTCAGCTCACACTCTGATTTAAAGGAGGTCGCACTCTTTCCCTATGTCTTGTGAAGACTGAAGGAGGGAGAGTCTTTCTACTCTGCCACTTCTCACCTGGAGAGAAGGATGGCAAAGTTCCAGAGGGAAGAGACGAAACATGCCTAGAGTGGGGATCGTGCCTGACAAGACATGTGGGCCCCAAACCCTGACACCTGCAAGAATCCCTTAGCCCTAGCAGAAACGCAAGCAGGCACATCTGATGGGGTCCCTACACAGTTCCTGTTTGCAGCATATCCAAACAGGCGCCCATGCTCACCTGCTGATGGTCTGCTTGACGGGCCTCTCTTGGAGATGGACGAGGTAGTTCAAGGTGGAGGGGCTCTGGTCATCATTCACCTGCGTAAGAAGTGCCCTATTCAGAGAGGGGCAGTGCCCTTATCTCAACCCGTCCATCACTCCTACCCCACTCCCACCTGATGTGTTCCATTCTGCCTTCCCATTCCACCTCCCCAGCCCTGTGCAACCCTCCACCACCCTCACACCAACCGTCCGGGCCAGGTCACTGCGCACGACCTTCTGCTCCATCAGCTGCAGCCGAATGTCAATGTCAAACTTGCAGCAGTGTTGGATGTACTCATGGCTGCCCAAGGCGTGCTTGCTGGTAGAGTAGAGAGACAAGACCATTAGCATCCTGGGGACTCATCAGGAAGGGAGAAGCATACCTTAGCCTTGGGGACAGAGATGCAGAAAGAAGGTTTAGGTGAGAGGGTGGCACCTGTGGTGCACCCCCTACTTTGGCCCCTAGAAAATGTCATGGTAGAGCTTAAGAAAAGAAACAGAGAGCCAGGCACGGTGGCTCACGCCTGTAATCTCAGCACTTTGGGAGGCCGAGGTGGGTGGACCACGAGGTCAAGAGATCGAGACCATCCTGGTCAACATGGTGAAACCCCGTCTCTACTAAAAATACAAAAAATTAGCTGGGCATGGTGGCGCGTGCCTGTAATCCCAGCTACTCAGGAGGCTGAGGCAGGAGAACTGTCTGAACCCAGGAGGCGGAGGTTGCGGTGAGCCGAGGTCGCGCCATTGCACTCCATCCTGGGTAACGAGCAAAACTCTGTCTCAAAAATTAAAAAAAGAAAAAAGAAAAGAAAAGAAACAGAGAAACAAAAGCCACCTAATATGCTTAACTCTTGGTCCGTACAAATATTGACTCTCCTAGGTATTTATTACCTGTGTGGTAATCACTGGTTCACTCCAGGGCTGGGAGCCGTGGGAGGGTGTGGGGAAACAGAGGACATCCAGGGAGCATTTGCTAAAGCCCTATTCTCTGGGCCTCCACACTGGGGACAACCAGGAAAAGACATGGAGTCCACCTGTGCTCAGGCTCCAATGTGAGAGCTCAGAGAGTGACCCCTCTTCCAGGGCTACCAACTAGGGTGCTGAGGCCAAACACAACCAACCCACCAAGCCTCCTCCAGGTTAGTGTCCCCATTCAAGTTATTTTTCTTTTTCTCTTTTTTTTTTTTTTTTTTTTTTTTGACACGGAGTCTCACCCAGGCTGGAGTGCAGTGGTGCGATCTCAGCTCACCGCAACCTCCACCTCCCAAGTTCAAGCAATTCTCCTGTCTCAACCTCTCAAGTAGCTGGGATTACAGGCACCTGCCACCACACCTGGCTAATTTTTATATTTTTCATAGAGACGGGGTTTCACCATCTTGGCCAGGCTGTTCTTGAACTCCTGACCTCGTGATCTGCCTGCCTTGGCCTCCCAAAGTGCTAGGATTACAGGCTTGAGCCACCGCGCTCGGCCTCAAGTTCTTTTTCTACCTTCCCTCTGTGGGTCCTGCCTGTTTGTGAAAAACCTTCAAAATTTCTATGACTCCTTGAAAAGTCCCAAAAGCATGCCAGTCCCACCTACTCAAGCACCCATATGTGAGACTCCCCCTTTCAGAGAGGAAGGCCTAGGAGACCCTCTGTGATCCAACTTCTTCCTCTCTCCCAAATCACACCTTTAATCAGCAAGGAAACCCAAGAGGAGGAGCAGAGGGAGAACTACCTCCCGGCCAGCACTGCAGGCCTGGACCTGGCCTCAAGAGCTGGGTAACAGAAGCCGGAAAAGGACTTCCTTCCTCAGCAGAGCTGGGAATCTAGGCCAGAAATGGAGAGGAGAGGACAGGAGCATAAGGGGAGGGGTGTGTGCAGAAGCTGGGGGAGGTGCAGGGGCCCAGGGTCGTCTAGATCTGGTAAGGGCTTGAGGGAGGGGTTCTCCACATTCTGAGAAGACCAAGCCTCCTATTTCGGCCCTCTCAGATCTAAGACTGAAGTGCGGCCAAAACCTGGAGGTGGTGAGGCTGGGCTGCAGGGCTGGGCCTGGTGGGCGAGCCTGGGAGGAAGGAAGAGTGTGGTGGGGCTGGGGTAGGTGGCAGGAAACCCAGCCCTCCCATGGGACTGCCTCAAGGTTCTTATCTGAGAGCAGCCTGCATCCTGAACCCACTCACCCCTTCAGTATCAGCCCCTCCTAATTTTCAGGGGTAGAAAATCTGAGGGCTTCCTTGGGAACTAGCAGATTTCTGGAACCCCCAGAGGGTCCTTTCCACCCCAACCCCGGCCAGTTGTCGTGTGTCGGGGGCCTGGGGGCTGAGCCAGGAACCAGCACTGCGCTTTTCTGTTGGGCAGGAGTGGGGCTCCCAGACCAGGACTCATGGACACAGGTCCCCTGGGGGCCTGGCTTGATCTTCTCTGTGGAAGGCCTTCCTCTCCACGCATTCAAGTCAGAGCACAAGGGGTGTGACCTGAGGCCACTGACCCTGTCCCACCTCACTGAGAATATTTTACCTGAGTCTTGGCAGGAAGGTAGAACCTGCCAGTTCCCACTACCTCTGGACCCAGGGGCTCCAGGATTGCTGGAGGTGCTGCAAGGGAAATGGCAGTATCTGGCCAGCCCAGAGCCCCGTGACTTTTTTCTGTGGGCTGCTCCTTCCCTGTTGGTATTTACTGATTGCCCTCTGGGTCATTCTCACACTTCACCCTCCCTGCAACTTACAGAGGGCCCTGAGCATCAGACTTCACAACTAGGAAGTGGCAAATCAGAATTCAAGCCTGTGCAATGGTGTCAGCAGGAGCTTCAACTTACCCACTATGTCCCCTTGGTCCCTTCTAACAGTGGCAGGCCACCTGGTGCTCTCTCTCTGCCAGGCGACCCTGAGTCTAGGACCCTTCCTGTTCCTCTAGGGGAAAGTGCATACATAAGCGAGTTTAAAGGTGGAGCACATTTGAACGACACCCTGGAGTTGTACCATACAGGGCCCTGCTTCTTTCTTTTCCCTCAGCTTCCAGATGAGGAGGCAGAGGCCAGAAAAGACCCCACAATATCCCTAAATTTGAAGAAATAAGCCCAGATAGCTGGGCACAGTGGCTAACACCCATAATCCCAGCACTTTGGGAGGCTGAGGTGGGCAGATCACCTGAGGTCAGGAGTTTAGGACCAGTCTGACCAACATGGTGAAACCCCTTCTCTATTAACAATACAAAAATTAGCCAGGCATGGTGTCACTCATGCCTGTAATCCCAGCTACTCAGGAGGCTGAGGCATGAGAATCACTTGAGCCTGGGAGGCGGAGGCTGCAGTTAGAGACGGCACCACTGCACTCCAGCCTGGGTGACAAAGCGAGACTCTGTCTCTAAAAAAGAAAGAAGCCGGGGAATGAATCTTCCATCCTGACTGCCAAATCCTATGCTCTAACCATAGATCAACCATCCGTGCATCTAGACTTGGGTATTAGAGAGAGAAAAGGCAAGGAATGGCACTTATAGGGGGCTCCTAAGAAGTGAGAGACAGGTCTCTCCTTTCTCCATTCTCAAGACCTGCTTCCTCCAAGTGGACAGAGGTGGGGGGCAGGAGCTGCCCTGAAGCCTAAGGGAGAAAGGCAGAGCTTATCTGTCTGCCGCCACACCGCTGTACCATCTGAGAGGTAGTAACCTTGCCTCCCTTCCACCCCAGCCCTCCAGAACCCAGGGTAGTGGAAAGGGGGTTGCCTCAGCTGGTCCACATCAGACTTTCCAGAGAGGCTGCTTTCCACAGAGGGCACTGGGTGAAGAACTGGAGGCGTGCTTTTGGGAGGAGGACAACTAGCTGCGCAGGCTAGCAGGGGAAAAGGCCTGCTGGCAGGAGAATGGGGAGAGACTTTCTCCCCTGGGCTCCACAGGGGTACTTCTGCCCAGGCCATAAAAACACCACACGTAATCTAGAGCAGGAGACATAGCACTACCCACATAGTCTCCCCAAGCCCACCCCTCCCCACAAATACACCTCTCCATAAGCAGGATCTGCAGGCAGATATGACCTAGTCTTTGCCTAATCCCAGCTCCAAACTTTCCACAGCAGATTTGCCTCAGGCCGTCAGCCAACCCTGCTGGAAGACAGAGCTCCTGGGGAAAGTGTGACGTGGCCAAGTGTGCCCAGAAAGCAGGAGTCTTGACTGTGGGATTGGGGAGGAGCTGCCAGGCCGGTCCCAGCATCAATCCCAAGAAGGCCCCTCACAATCCTGTTACCCAGAAGGCAGGGGTTACCTCCCACCAATTCACTCACTTCTGTAGGAACTCCTCCAGCCCACAGGGCTTCAGCACAAAGTCACCCACGTCCACGTTCCTCAGGTCATCATGGGTGTAGCACAGGGTCTGGTAGATAAGCAAGTCTACAGTGGAGGAACCTGTGAAGGGTAAGGCAGGGGGAGCAAAGATGATGGGTGCTGGGGCTGTTGGGGCTGCCAGCTAAGTGTTCTCCAGCACCGTCACCAACCAGATAAAGCATGCAAGTAGTTCAGGTTGCACCAGGAATCTGGCCTAAAGCCAGCCCCCCAAAGGAGCATCCTCATTGCCCTTCATGTGGGTCACAAGACGAGATGGGAATAGGATCCGAAACACAGTCATCCCCACCCCGCTTCAAGAGATGGTCACACCCTCTCCCCGCTCACTAACTCACAGTTGCAGGTAAAAGTGAGTGCTTCTCGAAGGCTGTCACACAACACCGTCACCTTCAGGTTGACCTCATCCCCCAGGTGCTCTGGACTAGGGGTGACAGCACTCCAAACATAGCCAGTGAGGGAGTAGTCCTGGATGTCAGAGCCAGATCGAAGGCTGCACAGGAAGAAAAAAAAAAAAAAAATCCCTCACTGGGCCTTTAGAAGAGAGTAGTCAAGAAGAGGTCTGCTGGAGCCCTCATGCCTGGACTCAAAAGCTCCTCTGTCCCCACTCAGCCCAGCCCTCCATATTTGCAGGCCAGGATGGGGACAGTGGGGGTCACAGCTCTGAGAAACCCCCTTCCTGACACTTCTCATAATTGCAAAATGTTTCCCACCATTGAACAGTGCAAATAGTTCTAAAATGACAAAGCTTTCCATGCTAAGTTTAATGGAAAATTCTTTTATGAATCCATTTCCTTTCTCTTTTAGTTCCGGATAACACACTTATTGCCAACTGGGGTGCATTTGCTCCTAAGGGCAACTGAGGGTCAGACCCTAGAGTGATCAGGATACCTTGACCATTCAATGGAGGTTTCATAAATTTTGTTAAAAATGTGAAACTTTGCTGGGCGTGGTGGCTCATGCCTGTAATCCCAGCACTTTAGCAGGCTGAGGTAGGCAGATCACAAGGTCAGGAGTTCGAGACCAGTCTGACCAACATAGTGAAACCCTGTCTCTACTAAAAATACACAAAATTAGCTAGGTGTGGTGCCAGGCACCTGTAATCCCAGCTACTCAGTAGGCTGAGGCAGGAGAAGAACCCTGGAGACAGAGGTTGCAGTGAGCCGAGATCACGCTACTGCACTCCAGCCCAGGCAACAGAGTGAGACTCCATCTCAAAAAAAAAAAAGGTGAAACGGCCAGGCTCGGTGGCTCACGCCTATAATCCAAGCACTTTGGAGGCCAAGGCAGGCAGATCATCTGAGGTTGAGAGTTCAAGACCAGCCTGACCAACATGGTGAAACTCCATCTTAAAAAAAAAAAAAAAAAAAAGTGAAACTTCTAAGATTTCAAAAACCCTACAGACACTTGTTGTAGGAAGCATTTCATAGCTATGAATTGAAATTTATTTAATTATGGTGCTTCTTCCCTCCTAAAGAAAGCTCTGAAATGGATGGCCCTCCTCCCCATCCCCCATAGCCCTCCCACATCCCCTGCCCCATTCTTTAACTCTTACATATCCAGCATGTGGCAAAATGCAGCAACCTCTTCATCTCTCTCTTCTGAGACCTCAAACAACTCATGGCCATTGGCAACGGTGTGGGACCGGGAGCCCACCTTTAAGAGAAGAGCAGCCAACTCAGTGCCTTTCCCCCCATGGTGTCCCCTCCCTATGAGATACTCCCAGACCTAAACGCAAACTCTAGATGACAAGAATTTTTAGTCACTCGACATTCAATGAAAGGGGCACAAGAACATATGGGACATCCAGGAATATATATATCTGCTGTCCTAGGAGACCAGGTAGGAGCCAGGTTGAAGGAGGAGGTGAAGCTCTGGCTGAGTACTGAAGCCTGGGTGGGATGGATGAGAATGTGGCCAAAGCCACTTCAGGACGGGACAGTGTGATAAGCGTGAGGCAGCTGGTAAGGCCGTTCAGTACTGTCGGGCCACTCCTGCACCAGGGGCTTTCTGGAGAATTCTCAGAGGTGTGACGGGGAGCAGAGCAGGAGCCATTTTTCCCAGCCTCTCCACTGAGGCTAGAGCAGGTAGGCTGCTCAAATGATGCCCAGGGAAGATTACCCTGGTCAAAGGCCTCCACATCCGCAAGCCCCAGGGACCCAAAGCAGAGAGAGACCAAGAGCCCTTAGATAGAAGAGATGACTCAGACACGTGTGCCTTCTGGGTAAATGCTATTTGAGGAAGAAAGCATCAAAGCAGTGGTCTGGCCAGGGAAAGACCTGGTAGAAGCTTGGCTCCTGGCTTCCGAGTCGGCCGGCTCTGGATGGCTGGAGCGTCAGGGAGCCTGCCTTGGCCCCATCTCCTCTCTCAAAACATATGTGTGGCGGTGGGATTCTCAGACAAGGTCTCAAACTATCTCCTATCCCAGAGCTGTTTTCAGTCACCCAGAAGGGTTCTTAATGAAGCCCCTAGCAAGGCCTGTAGCCCAGCCCTAGGGAGAAGGAAGTGTGTGTGTGAGGGGGGAGAGCCGGTGCATGACGTTTCTGCCTGACAGGCCTGCCCAGGGCAGCCTAGGAGGCCACAGCAGGAAACGAGGCTTCAGCTCAGATGGAGACTCAGCCGCCATGTGGTTCCAACAGCTGTTTCCGGGGGGAGTCTTGCTCCGGCCTGTGCACATCACAACACCCCACACCTCTCATCCAACCCACTGGCTACCCTCAAGTCCTCCCTGCCTCTTGGGGCAGATGGCAGCAACTGAGCTCCTCATTTGAATATCCAGATTGTTTCCTCTGGTTGACCCTCTCTTGTCAGCCCTGCTCTCCTGGGTGTAATGGGTGGCAGGGGGCGGGGGTGCACAGAGGGGAGGGCAGCATTGGGGACAGTTGGCATGTGAGGCCTCAGCTCTGCCAAGTTCGTGCCTGTGTCCTAGTCAAAACAATAGTACCACTGTCAGCAATTAACCCACGAGAGAGAGGGAGGGAGAGAGGAATAAAAAAAGAAAGAGAAAGAGAGACAGTAGGGGGAGGGAAGAGAAGGCAAGAGAGGAGAGAACAGAGTGGCCACTGAAGGGCACTGTCATGCCCTTTCTGTACCACTCACTGGCACCATAAGAAAACAAAAGCCACTTACGTTTGCCCTGCTGGCAGTCCCTGATGGCATTGCCCGATGCTGGCTGGGGGAGTCTGCCGGGCAGAGGCTGGCAGCGGGGGTATCAGGCTGGCATTCAGAGCCAGCCATTTCCAGAGCTGGCTCCGCTGGCCTGGGATAAGGAGGTTCCCTCCGGCTGGAAGCCCGGCGGAAGCGGGGTGGTGGTACAGGCCGAGGGCCCAAGGGGTCCACCCCGCCAGCAGGCTGAGGCCCTGCACCAGGCTGACCTGGGGAGGACCAAGGCCGCATTTCCCCACTCAGACCTGGCAAGGGCTTTTAGCTTTGTGCCCACTTCTTCAAGGAGATTCTGGGCTGAGCTCTGTTTCCGAACTCTGATGACACACAGGGGATGGGGGAGGGCGAGGGACTGAGGGAGGCAGGAGAGACAGCAAGCGACAGAGGTGACCACCTACCAGGGTGCCCTGACTCAGTGAGCAGGCCGAGCTGGGTGTGAGGAACTCGGAGCTGGGAACAGGAATCTCCCAGTCCCTATAAATAGCGGAAACAGCCCCACCTCTCAGAGCAGGGCCTTTAAAAATCCCTGAGCTCTAGGGATGTGCCTTATCCCAGGAGCTGATTCAGCTTTTGGGGTCACTCTCTTAGCAGAAACAGAGGAAGTCCTTGTTTCTAAAGGACTGTGTAGCTCTTCAGAGTTGGGAAGGATCCCAAAGGTGACAAGGTGGGAAAACCCCAGTGCCCTTAAACAATGGCTAAGGAGGAAACCGGATGGAATGAAGTGGAATGTTAAGCTGTCACAGAAGGCATCGGCCAGCCAGGTGCGGTGGCTTACGCCTGTAATCCCAGCACTTTGGGAGGCCAAGGCAGGCAGATCACCTGAGGTCAGGAGTTCGAGACCAGCCTGGCCAATGTGGCAAAACCCCGTCTCTACTAAAAATACAAAAATTAGCAGGGCGTGGTGGTGCGTGCCTGTAATACCAGCTACTCAGGAGGCTGAGGCAGGAGAATTGCTTGAACCCAGGAGGCAGAGGCTGTAGTGAGCCAAGCTCACTCCACTGCACTCCAGCCTGGGCAACAGAGAGACACTCTGTCTCAGAAAAGAAAAAAAAAAGAAGGCATCAGCCATGGGGGTATCTCTTGACTCCTTGAAGCCAGGGTTTCCAGGGACCAAGGATGAAATACGAAGTGGCCTTCTGGTCCCACCTGGGAGATGCTGCTGAAGCTCCCCTAAACCAGAAGAAAGATCAGAACTCCCCTGGAACTTGCCTGGGGGCCTTGACCCAGAGAGTTCACTATTTTACACTACGTACTGAAAAAAATAAAATTATTTGTCATACTGCATACTTTTTCTCAATATTTTCATGGTGAGAAGAGAATGGGTAGAGATGAATAATGCAAGGGTCGCACGACAGTGTGAATGTAGATAATGCCACTGAATGCACGCTTACAGATGGTGACAGTGCCGAATTTTATGTCATGTATATTTTATCACAATAAATAACAGAGGCGGGAGAGAGAGAGAGAAAGGGGGTAAGAAAGGGCTTAGGAACGAGAGAGGCCAGGGCTGAATGCTGGCCCTGCTATTGTTTGCTGCGTGTCTTTGGACTATCAGGAAGGGTTGTTGTGGAGATCTGGACCAAGGTCTGGTATTCAGTGGGCACTAAACAAGCGGTTACTATTGTGAATGATCTTCATCGCCACGCAGCATTTTGGCAGAGCAGGGCCTCAGAGCAAGCGGAAGCAACTTGCTCCAGTCCAGAGGGCCATTCAGCCAGAGTCGGTAATGAATTCCCAACTCCCAATTCAGTCCTTACATCAGGAAGTGGCCACACGCTAGGAACCAGGATTTCCAAAGGCCTGCCCCCAGAAGGGCCGTTTTGGCCAAGATATGTGAAAACTGGCTGTGAAAAGACGACCTTCCTCTACTGGTATCCACCCCTAATCAAGCCTCCCTTGGACCTTCCCCACCAGGGCCAGGGTCCCAGTGGCAGAAAAAGAGGGTAGGAGAAGCCTAAAGGGGTAAGGACTTGGCAGAGTAGGATGTGGAACAGCAGAGAGACTAGTCCCTGTTTCTAAAGGACATGGAGAAAGGAAGCCCGGAGAAACATGAAGGTCCTCACCGGAGCTGCAGAAATCCGGCGGTTCTTGCCAGGTGTCGCATTCTTTCGGTTGGCATAGCGGGAGGCATAGGTGCGGGGGGGCACCTGAGGGGGCATAGTCTTGCTCCGGGCCACGGGTTTTCCAGAGGTGTCTTTGCTGAAGTCCAGGGTCCCTCGGCCCTCCTTCCAGCCCCTGGTGGCATCCCGCAACATCTCCGCGTCATAGGTTGACTTCAAGTTGAGCCTTGTAATTGCATCGTTGATGCCATCATAGTCCACAGACCCCAGCAGGCGGCCCTGACCCCTACCTCCTGGCACCTCTTCCTCTTCCAGGATCTGGTTCCCTAGCAGTTTTCCTGGCAATTGTTCGACCAAAGAGAAAGTGTTGATGTCATTGGGCTGGGAGATCTTAGAGGATGACGGGGACCCCTTTCTGGGAGGTAGGGGAGGGGTATCCCAGATAGAGGTTCGGGGAGGCAGAGGAGGTGGGGATAGTTTCTTGCAAGAGCCCTCTATGTCTCCTGGACCTGGGGACAAAGAGACTCCCCCATCTGAACCATCAAAAATGTAGAGATAGTCTCCAGACAGGGAGCCTTTGGGCCAGGGATCTGGGCCAGGCTGGGGCCCTTGGGAGGTAGAGTGGTTGGGCGGCCCTTCCTGTGGGGAGAGTGAGTTGTAGTTGAGGGTAGGATCAGAGCCAGAGAGACCGCGTAACAGCTTGAGGTCGGTCCGCCTTCCTGCTGGCTTGCTGTAGAAGTCTACCCCAGGCTCATCCCAGCTGATGAGAGAGGGGTCTGCGTTCTGCTTGGCTCTGCTCTCCTCCTTGTCCTGCCGGAGCCGGGACAGGGCATCATACTCCATCTGCAGGGCTTCGGCCATCGCCAGCTCTTTGCGGCTGATGCCCACAGACTCCAGGGACTTCCAGTGCTCCCCATTGCCCTGAGTCGAAGACATGGTGAGGATGGGGAACACAGGAGCCAAAGAAGCCTCTACTTCCTGCCAACCTCAGTTCTGGAGGGTTGTGACATGGTGTCTGGGCACCTGCAAGTGAGAGATAAACATATCTGTCAGTCATAAAGAGAGACTTACTAGTAATCCAACTTAGGTGATGTAATCTGGGCCAATGCCTACTTCTTTGGTGTCTACAACAAACAAAAAGTACAGAAAGATGGAGGAAAAAAGGAATACCAAGACAACTTTACCTGTTTATTACATCCAGCTACCCATCCATTCATCTCTACGTGTCTCATCTCTGTGCCCTAATCCCTACACTCACCTCTGTCATTTGTGCCCCAAGAAGACAGAGAGGCACCTTCTTTTTTGTTGTTGAGACGGAGTTTCGCTCTTGTTACCCAGGCTGGAGTGCAATGGCGCGATCTTGGCTCATGGCAACCTCCGCCTCCTGGGTTGAAGCAATTCTCCTGCCTCAGCCTCCTGAGTAGCTGGGATTACAGGCACGCACCACCATGCCCAGCTAATTTTTTGTATTTTTAGTAGAGACGGGGTTTCACCATGTTGACCAGGATGGTCTCGATCTCTTGACCTCGTGATCCACCCGCCTCGGCCTCCCAAAGTGCTGGGATTACAGGCTTGAGCCACCGCGCCCGGACGCACCTTCTTTTTTGTTTGTTTGAGACGGAGTCTTGTTCTGTCGCCCAGGGTGGAGTGCAATGGCGCGATCTCGGCTCTCAGGTTCAAGTAATTCTCCTGCCTCAGCCTTTCAAGTAGTTGGGAATACAGGCACCCACCACCACACCCAGCTACTTTTTGTATTTTTGGTAGAGACAGGGTTTTGCCATGTTAGCCAGGCTTGTTTCAAACTCCTGACCTCAGGTGATCCGCTGCCTCGACCTCCCAAAGTGCTGGGATTACAGACATAAGCCACCATGCCTGGCCAAGAGGCACCTTCTATTAGCCAAGAAGAGATGAAAGCAAAGCTTCTCCAGTCAATTTGAAGAGGACAGCTCTCATATACCACTGGTGGGAAATGCACAATGGTACAATCACTTTAGAAAATAGCCAGCTTCGGCCGGGCGCGGTGGCTCAAGCCTGTAATCCCAGCACTTTGGGAGGCCGAGGCGGGTGGATCACGAGGTCAAGAGATCGAGACCATCCTGGTCAACATGGTGAAACCCCGTCTCTACTAAAAATACAAAAATCATTAGCTGGGCATGGTGGCGCGTGCCTGTAATCCCAGCTACTCAGGAGGCTGAGGCAGGAGAATTGCCTGAACCCAGGAGGCGGAGGTTGCGGTGAGCCGAGATCGCGCCATTGCACTCTAGCCTAGGTAACAAGAGTGAAACTCCGTCTCAAAAAAAAAAAAAAAAAAAAAAAGAAAAGAAAATAGCCAGCTTCTTAAAAAGGTAAACATACACCTAACATAGGATTCAACTATCACTCCTACTTATCCAAGAAAAATAAAAGCGTGTATCCAAACAAAAACTTGTTCATGAATATCTACAGCAGCTTTATTTGTAATATCCCAAAACTAAAAGCAACCCAAAATGTCCAACAACAGTGAATGGATTTTAAAAAATGTGATGTCTATACAATTGACACTTCTTAGCAATAAAAAGGAAGAAATTATTGACAAGTGCAATAACATGGATGAATCTTAAAATAGCTTTGCTGAGTAAAAGATGCCAGACAAGAGTATGAGTATGTATGATTCCATTTATATAAAATTCTGGAAAATGCAAACTCATCTATAATGACAGAAAGCAGATCAGTGGTACCTTGGGGACGGAGTGGAAAGAAGGATGGGTTACAAAGGGACACAAGGGAAGCTTTGGAGGTGACAAATATGTTCATTATCTTGATTATGGTCATGCCTTCATTGGTATACTCACATGGCAAAACTTACCAAACGCTTTCAATATGTTTTATTATATGTCAATTACACCTCGATAAAACTATAAATGGAAAGTACCAGAGAGCCCTGTTAAATGGACCTTGTAATTACTCAGCACTAGGATCCTCCCAAAATACACCAATATATACAACGAAACAAAGCTTGCCAACAGGTGACACTCGGCTACCTGATGCCTTACAGGTGTGCCAAAATATTGGTCCCCTCAGCCCTCAGGAAGTCACACATGATCTCCGAGCCAGTGCTTCCACTTTCTTCAGTGCTGGTACTCTTTTCTCTAGAGCCATGACGTGAACCAAGTTGAGAAGCACTCAACCCCAGCTGCAACATTAGCACAACACTGGGGGAATTTTAAAAAGTACTGAAGCTCAAATACTCTCAAGAGAGTCTGATTTAATTGCTCTGTGGTAGGGTAATGATATTTTTTTTAAAAACTCCCCAGGAGATTCTAATGTGTAGCCCTAGCTGAGAACTCTGGATCTATGAATGTGTGTTTGTGATGAGGTTGGGGGAGACAAGCATGAAGTAGTCACTTCCGACTCTCCGCACCAGCAGCCCAAGAGGATCACAATTTCATAAAATTGTCAAAAATTGTTCATTCTTCTGTACTGCCTCACCCAACAGGTAACAAACATGAAACATTACACCTCATGATTAGAATGTTGAAAACATCAATAGGAAAAAGGTTCAGATACATTCTTGTGTGGCAAGTTGCTGAGATTCAAAATAACTTAAGACAAAGTTATCCCTTACCCTGGGGTACCCTTCCGGGACCCTGGTACATCTGTCAGGTATAGGCACAGAACCCTGGTCTGAAGGGTTCTGGTTCAGTGAATCTGACACCTTTTATACTTAGGAATTAGTTCACCAAGGATGGAACAGTCCGAGCCCAGCCTCAGGGTAACTAAAGCAGCTTTCTGTTAACTTAATTTCTCTGCCTTTCCACAGCTCCTTTCAGATCACTTTTTATCCACAGTGGGTATGAGTCTTGCTATTTGAAATTCAAAGGAGTAGCATAAGCAGATGGAGATATTCAGAACCTGGCTGCCTGGAGCTGGGAGACGGGTCCCAGGAAAAGGAGGGCCTAGTGCCTTACACATAGGAGACACCAGATAAATGCTCAAGTTGGATTGGGCTTAAGCATGTTAATCTAGAGAATAATTGGGTATTTTCAGTGCTGAGATAGGACAAGCAGAGTATTAAGATTTGCCTTAAAAAGACAGGCACAGTGGCTCATGCCTGTAATCCCAGCACTTTGGGAGGTTGAGGCAGGTGGATCATCTGAGGTTGAGAGTTCAAGACCAGCCTGACCAACAAGGAGAAATCCCGTCTCTACTAAAAATACAAAATTAGCCGGGCACAGTGGCACATGCCTGTAATCCCAGCTACTTGGGAGGCTGAGGCAGGAGAATTGCTTGAACCCGGGAGGTGGAGGTTGCAGTGAGCTGAGATCGTGCCATCGCACTCCAGCCTGGGCAATAAGAGTGAAATTCTGTCTGGAAAAAGAAAAAAAGATTTGTCTCAGCAGGCACTTTTGTGAGGAAGAAAATTCAGGCCATTGGAAATAACTTTCTTCTGCTCCTGTTTCCTTGTCTAACATTGGAAATAATCTTTTTTAACTTCCAGCCTCTCTTCCAACACTCATTTATCCACATCTGCACTCAGCTTCACTTTCTTCCTTTTGGCCCAGGGGAAGCGGTTCCTGCCTCCTGCTGAGGCGCAACTTTCTTCTGCTCTTGCCCCGCCCACTTCATCTCTAGGATAATGTTCCATGGATTTCCTTCCCTCTCCTGTATCTTCAGTCTCCTCTCCTTAATGTGATTTTTCTCTTCAGCACATAAACATGCTTCATTTTTTGTCGTTGTTTCTCTTTGGTGCTGTGACTCTGATTTGAAGCTTCATCTAATCTTAACAAGAAAGGAAAAACCCCACACCTTAAACACCTCCCCTTGGCTTTGTCCTCTCCGTTCTTCCTTCCGTTCTCAGCCAAGCTTCCAGAGAGTGGACTACACCTGATGTTTCCAAATTCTCCCTTCCCATTTCCTCTGTAACTCACTGTAATCTGGTGCCTGCCCCCTGCATCCCACTAAAACTGCTCCAGCAGCAAAGCCAGGCCGCCCAGTCGGCAGGCATCGCCACCTGCCTGGACACTGCTGCTGTATTTGGCTCCATGAACCATTCCTTCCTTAAACTCTCTCCCACTGGCTTTCACGACACTATTTTTGTCTTATTCTCTATCCTTCCTCTTTGTCTTCCTCTTCCTTTGTCCACCCCTAAAATGTTGGTGTTGGCTCAGGATTCTATTCCCAGCTTACTGTTAACTCTACCCCCTCTGCTTGGGCAATATCATCTATTCTTGGTTCCTATCCATACTACTCACATGTTGATGATTCCAAATATGTACCTCTCCTTCAAGTTTATGTGCCCACTCATATCTCAAAATCCAAATGTCCAAAACTCAACTATCATCATCTTCCCCCCCCCCACCCAATCTGCTCCTTGCTCCTGCTTTCCCATTGTGGTGAATGGCACCCCCCAGATCCCCAAGGTAAAAATCCCGCAGTCATCCTAGAGTCCCCCTTCCTTTCACCCCTCTATCCAGTCACCAAGGCCTGCCATCTTTTCCTCCTTAATACTTCCCAAAGCTAATCTTTCCTTCTATCCTAACTGTGGTTGCCCTAATTCAAGCCCTTATCTTCTTATTTGGGCTATTACAATGGCCTCCTAAGAGTTCTTCCCCCTACTAACCTTACCCTCTTCAAGGCCTTTTTTGTTGTTGTTTTTGAGATGGAGTTTCACTCTTGTTACCCAGGCTGGAGTGCAATGGTGTGATCTTGGCTCACGGCAACCTTCACCTCCCAGTGCAAGCTATTCTCCTGTCTCAGCCTCCCAAGTAGCTGGGATTATAGGCATGCACCACCACACCCAGCTAATTGTGTATTTTTAGTAGAGACAGGGTTTTTCCATGTTGGTCAGGCTGGTCTAGAACTCCCGACCTCAGGTAATCCATCCTGCCTCGGCCTCCCAAAGTGCTGGGATTACATTACAGGCGTGAGCCACCGCACCCAGGCTTTTTTTTTTTTTTTTTTTTTTTTGAGACGGAGTTTCACTCTTGTTACCCAGGCTGGAGTGCAATGGCGCGATCTCGGCTCACCGCAACCTCCGCCTCCCG